CATATATATATTATGTGGAGCTTGAACTCACAACCCTGAAATCAAGACTTGAGCTAAGATCATGAGTCAGATACTCAACCAAATGAACCACCCAGGTACCCCCAAGTCATATTTTTAGATACATGCTATCCTCCTATAATCCCCTTCTATCCATAACTGGTTCTAAACTGCTGATTGCAACATTGACCATTGGAAATTCCCTTCCTTCTCCCCTAAGGAACTAAGTAAGTTCCTTAATCTTTTCCGTTATTACATTTTATATATATATACATATATATATATATCCTTGTTATTATTATTATTGTTATTGTTTTTAAGTCAACATTTCAGCTGAAGAAGTTGATCAGGGGTTGGGGGTGAGGATGGGAGGGTGAGATGTAGGAATGGGGTGGGAATAGGCTTAATTAATGGCATATTTTTGCAAATGGGAAAGGAGAACTCAATAATTTTACATGTATTTTAAAAATCAAAGTATAGGGGTACCCGAGTGGCTAAGTTGGTTAGGCAGCTGACTCTTGATTTCAGTTCAGGCCACGTTGGGCTCCGTGCTCAGCAGGGAGTCTGCTTGAGGATTCTCTCTCCCTCTCCCTTGCCCCTTCACCCACTCACACACACACTCTCTCTCTAAAATAAATAAATAAATTCTTTCAAAAAAATTGAGGTATAATTCACATACCATAAAAGTCACCATTTTAAAGTTTACAATTCAGTGGTTTTTAGTATACTCATAAATACCTATTATAAAATACAAATATATATTTATAAAAGATTTTTGTGGAGCCTCTCCTTCAAGTCAATCCATCATTTTGTTCTGCCAAATAACCACATACTAATAGCTATATTTAAAAACAAAGACCAAAAAGAAGAAGAAGGAGGAGAAGGGGAGGAAAGTCTAGAACAAACAGAAAGGAAAAGAACAAGACCTTCAATGAAAGTGAAAGGCAAAATGAACAAGTCTCTCTACGCTATGCATCTTGTAAGATAATAAATGGCAAATGTACATATGATTCTATGAGATAGTCCTTTGTCAATCTGCACTATTTCTCTACCTTGTATCTCTGGCATTTACCGATTACAAAGCAGCACCAAGGAATCGTAGGATTCCAAATAGTGGAACTCATTTTAAAAGCAACAACAGGGGCACCTGGGTGGCTCAGTCAATTAAGCATCCGACTCTTGATTTTGGCTCAGGTCATGGTGTCAGGGTCGTAAGATTGAGTGCCTCCTCAGGCTCTGTGCTGGGAGTGGAGCTTGTTTGAGATTCTCCCTCTGCCTCTGCCCTCCGCACCCCCCCCGCCGCCCCCTTCCCCCCCCCCCCCGCCCCCGGCTCATGTATTCCCGCTCTCTCTCTAAAAAAAAAGCCAAACAAATAAATAAAACCAAACAGGAAATTCCCAGAGTTTCCCAGGGAGATTCTAAGACTTAACCCCCAAAAGAGACACAGTGTGAGCGTGCATACACGGTGATGGGCAGAGAGAGAGGGAGAGAGAGAGAAGCAGACTCCCCGCTGAGCGCAGAGCCCTACTCCGGACTCTTGATCACACAACCCTGAGATCATGACCCGAGCTGAAATCAAGAGTCGGATGCTTAACTGACCGAGCCACCCAGGCACCCCAAGATAAACATTTTTTTTAAAAAAAAATCAAGAGTCTTCTTTAACTATCGCCCAATACAAGCACTGACAAAAATTTTTTAGTTTATTTCCTTATGCAAATATGCATATGAAGACATATACATGCAACTGTGCATTTTCCTATCTGGTTGTTTTCTACAGTATTACATGTAAGCATTTTCCCAAGTTCTTCACTTTCTTTAAAAAATGGAAGTTTAAGGCGCCTGGGTGGCTCAGTTGGTTAAGTGACTGCCTTCGGCTCAGGTCATGATCCTGGAGTCCCGGGATTGAGTCCCGCATCGGGCTCCCTGCTCGGCGGGGAGTCTGCTTCTCCCTCTCCCGCTCCCCCCTCTTGTGCTCTCTCTCTCTCTCACTCTCTCTCTCAAATAAAAAAAAAAATCTTAAAAAAAAAAAATGGAAGTTTAAAAAAAAATATGGAAGTTTTAATGGCTGAATGGGGTTGCTTCATTGTGATCTACCACCTTTTATGTAACTAATCCCCTAAAATTAGAGTTTTGAGTTGTCTCCAATATTTTACAATGATATCCATACTATGGAATACTATTAGGTAATAAAAAAGAATGAAATATTATTACATGAAACAATATGGATGAATTTCAAAGATACTATCCTAAGTGAAAGGAGTCAGACACAAAAGGCTATATGCTGTATTGTGATTCCAACTATATGAAATTCTGAAAAAGCAAAACTATATTAACAGAAAGTAGGTCAGTGATTATCTGTGGCCAAGGGGAAGGGAAGAGAATCTACAGGAAAGAGACATGAAAATACTTTTTTTTTTAGGGTAATAGAAATGTAGTGATTGTGGGCGCCTGGGTGGCTCAGTTGGTTAAGCGACTGCCTTCGGCTCAGGTCATGATCCTGGAGTCCCTGGATCGAGTCCCGCATTGGGCTCCCTGCTCGGCAGGGAGTCTACTTCTCCCTCTGACCCTCCCCCCTCTCATGTGCTCTCTCTCTCTCATTCTCTCTGTCTCAAATAAATAAATAAAATCTTTAAAAAAAAAAAAAAGAAATGTAGTGATTGTGACAGTAGTTAGACAACTATAAACAATTACAAAAATTCTTCAAACTCTACACTTGGAATGGGTGGATTTTACTGTGTGTAAATTATACCCCAATAAAGCTGGAAGAAATGAAAACAGAAGCAAAGATTACTTATGAAATTTCTTGAAAAAAACTTATTTTCATTTTTGCATATTTCCTTTAAATTTTTGGTCATATTCATACTCTATATAGCTATAATTATAGAATTTATGTAAATTTATATTTTAGACATTTTTATACACAATTTTACATATTTCTGTATAGTCTTCATAATTACAATTTAAAATAGTTCCATATAATTGTCAAAAGCTAAAAACCATTTCCCTACTGTTAACAGGTGAATTACCAAATTTTAAAGCAGATGATTCCTAAAAAAAACGGAAAGGAAAAAAAAAAAAAAGCAAGTAATTCCTCCTCAATATTTGGATGCCACCAAGTGGACAAACTGTGCAATGTTGCAGAGACCGAGTAGGCCATTTTATAAATTTTAAAAATAAAAAAATTAACTTAATGTTTAGTTTTCTAATTTAAAAATTATTTTTAAAGTCAAGTACATTTTTAAAATTAAAACAGACCATTTTACAATTTACTAGACTATGATCCTCATCTATCTCTTTTAGTTCCTTAACTCTCAAATCTCAATCTAGGGAAATCAGTTAAGGAAAAGAACTTCCTGTGGAGACCTAGTTCTTTACAAACTAAAGCCATGGTTGTCAATGTTAGACATGGGTCTATCACCAGCCCTAAACCAAAAACCCTTGTACGCATCTCCAAACGCAAAAAGCCTTTGCTATCAGCCAATCGAGTGACTTCTAACACGACAATAAGCCCTCCCAGGAGGCACAGTGAAATCAGAGACAAAAAGTTGGTGATGATTGTATGGAAGGCAGAGAACAATACCAGGAGGCTCATTCCCTTTTGGGCAAAGACTTGCTAATTCTCTATATGAGTCACCAGGATCTTCTCTCTACAGTCCCTGGCTTCTCCAGTTCAAGCTTTTACGGTCGCATTGAAACCGCAACTGGCTAGAGCCACAAAAAGAAAGATTATTTCAGGGAAGTGTTTGGTCCCTGCCAGGGTCGACAAAAGGATGACTTTTTCAAAAGAATGCCTTTGAATGACACTGAGCCTTTGCCTACCACCAAGCCGAAAGAAGAGCCTGAAGCTCTACCTGTGACCCATCACTGCTCCCCATTATTTTTTCTGGCACTCTTTAACCCTCTCCATCTTGCTGCCAATCTCCATAAATTAAAAAGGAAAAGTTGAAAAGAGGAAAAAGGGAAAACGCTAGGAGTGCCACTCCCAAGGACTCTTAAAGGAATGAATGCCATGAATCCATAGAGTGAGAAACCAGCGAGAGAAAGAAAATACAGCTCACGAGACATAACTATGGTTTCATTGTGGCAAATTAGAGAGGCTTGTTTCTTTCTTTTTTTCCCCCCCAAGATTTATTTATTTATTTGAGAGAAAGTAGGGTGAGAGGCAGAGGGAGAGAATTTTCAAGCAGACTCCCCACTGGGAGTGCAGCCTGATCTCATGACCCTGAGATCATGACCTGAGCCAAAACCAAGAGTTGGATGTTCAACCTGTGCCTGAGCCCCCCAGGCACACTGAGAGTCTTGTTTCTGTTTGCTGAATTGTTTGTTTGCTTGTTTTCATTTTAATTCTATTTCTTACAGAAAATACATTATTTCAATCCAAATTCAAAAGTACAAAAGGGTAAACAATGAAAAATTTTCTTCCAAGAGCTTCCCTGGCTGACCAACCCCATTCCCAGAGGCAACCATTAACCATTTCTTGTGAATCTTTACAGAAATATCTTATATGTAGATGAACAGTTACATATATACATTCTCCCCATATAGACATTCAGGTCCATCCCCCTTTTCTTTTTGCATAAATGGTGACCCACTATACACAATGATGTATAGGTTTTTTATTTTAAAGATATTTATTTATTTGAGAGAGAGAATGAGAGAGAGAGAGAGCACGAGTGGGGTGAAGGGCAGAGGGAGAAGCAGACTCCCCACTGAGTAGGGAGCCAGATGCGGGACTCGATCCTGAGACTCTAGGATCATGACCTGAGCCGAAGGCAGACTCTTAACTGAGCCACCCAGGGCCCTGGATGTATAGTGTTTTTCACTTTGTAATACAATATGTCGTGGCATTTATAACGTATTAATATGTACAGTTTCTTATTCATTTTAAAGCTCCATCATATTTTATCACATGGATGTACCATAAGACATTTAAGGAATTCTTTATTAAAATGAAAGTTTAGCTTGCTTCCAATCTTGTGCTATTTTTATTATTATCTTCTTACCAGAAATTCTCTGGGCTAATTTGATTGCTTCTTCAACCGGGTCTGAGTTCACAATTTCATCTAGAATACCCAGCTTGAGGGCTTCATCTGCCAAAACATGTCTTCCTAAAACAAAACAAAACAAAACAAAACAAAACAAAACAAAAATCAAAGAACAATGTGAGGTTAAAGCAAAAGCATTACTCTCTCTAGTAGGGAAGGTTATCTGTCTTGGATACAAACATCTATTATTAAATGAAATAAATAAGCAACACACTGACTATTATAGTAGAAAGGTCACTGTATAGGTAACCAGAAAACTTAGTTCAAGCTTCAGCTCTACCTTCTACTACTATTTGTGTGATGATGAATTGTATGGGGACCACCCCTTCCTCCTAGGCAAATGGGAGTAATTATGCTTACCTTGGTAATTCTGAGTATCAAGTGAGAATAACACATTTTCTTTATAGTCTATAAATCTCTATGGAAGCACTTTGTGAAGTAGACATTTCTAGAGAAGAGATGATCAAGTTTTGAGACCAATAACAGAGATAGTGACAGCAGAGAGTAGCAGGATCTTTCTTACACCAATATACACCAACACACATACCATCACTGATTACCAAAAAAAAAAAAAAAAGACAGTCCTGAAACATGAATATAGTTGGATAAGCAGGGGGAAATTATCGATTAGGTTGACATTATTGAAGTTATAGTCAAAATTACACGGGATAAATGGGGTGGACTTGTGTCATTTTTTGCCTACCCAGCATCTCTCCTCGTTTGTGGAGTTGCTATTGTGTGAGTTTTGGAGCCCTGCCTTTCACCACAGGAGCTAAAAGGGAAGCAGAAGTGATCAGACAATTGTTGCTTCAGATCCATGCAGGGAGGGTGTGGCCCATGACCCCAAGTCTGGAGAAAGGAGTGCTCTACAGAGGGTTGTCAGCCTGGAGTGAGGACAAAAAGGAGCGCTGGCGACATCTAGTGTCTGATGGCGGTGGAGTGAGGACAAAAAGGAGCGCTGGCGACATCTAGTGTCTGATGGCGGTGGTACCAGGAGCTGCTAATGGGCAGGGGTGGCCCTGGCCACCTCCACTATAGAATGGCAGCTGTAGGGTGTTAAGAAGTTTGATGAGCGGGCGCCTGGGTGGCTCAGTTGGTTAAGCGACTGCCTTCAGCTCAGGTCATGATCCTGGAGTCCCTGGATCGAGTCCCGCATCGGGCTCCCTGCTCGGCAGGGAGTCTGCTTCGTCCTCTGACCCTATCCCCTCTCATGTGTTCTCTCTCTCTCATTCTCTCTCTCTCAAATAAATAAATAAAAAATCTTTAAAAAAAAAAAAAAAGAAGTTTGATGAGCACCACTCCTAAGTTCTTCATTGGGTGTAAATACGTAATTTAATCTGAATATTCTGAAGAACCGGGTTAAGGGATACGAGCATCCCTTAACACAGGGTCAGAAGAAAGGAGACAGTAACACCTTACTTGCTTTCCTGCCAGTACCATCTTGCCTTGTGGAAAAGTGATCATCAAATCAGTCTTGAGGGTAACAGTGTCACAGTCCTTGCTGTTCATACAGTGTTAGTGGAGGTCATCTTTGAGACAAACCCTCCATTCCTGGTTCTTAGGAGTGCTTCAGAGAGTTACAGATGGGTTTTCTTGATCAGAGAGACAGTTCAATGATTTCCGGCAGGGGCCACTCTGCAACATTATTTGGGTGGTGTTCTAGAAGTGCCTTTGAAAACAGGCTCCCAGATTTCCCCCTGGGGCGAGGAGGGCAGTGAGGAGTGGATGAGTGGCTGCAGGGGTCAAGTCTCCTGTGTATAAGATCACTTGGGGGCGCCTGGGTGGCTCAGATGGTTGGGTGTCTGCCTTTGGCTCAGGTCACGAATTCCAGGTCCTGGGACTGAGCCCCACGTCGGGCTCCCAGCTCAGTGGGGATTCTGCTTCCCCCCGTCCCCCTGCTTGTGCTCTCTCTCTCTCTCAAATGAATAAATAAAAAATCTTTTAAAATAATGAAGTGTTAACTCCATAGTTGGTGTTACGATTCTAGATACCAGCTTAGCTATGTTTAGTAAGCCTGTTTTAATGTTTCCCTGACTCATTCTTTTTTTTTTTTTTTTCCCCTGACTCATTCTTAAGTTTGCAAGGGAGTCTAAAGTGGAGACCCTAAAAAAAAAAAAAAAATCACTTGGGTAAGGGGTGAGTGAATCAACCTGCCCAGGTTAAGGGCACCAACGGCAGATAAAATGGAAAATGGAAACCTGAGTACAAAAAGGATCTTTGGGGCAACTGAGTAGATAATGTGAGCTACCCAGAGGATGCACTGCAAATTCCTTCAGCTATAATGATTGCTTCTAGCCTGGATTTCACACAAGTGGAGGTGTATCACGACTGTTCTTACAAAGTCAGTGAGATTCTGGGTACTTTGATTCTGTTTCAAGGGCCTAAAGACACAGCTCTGTATATACAACCCAAATCTTCAGGCTCAGATTTAAACTTGCTTTTTCTCTTGCTGCCCTCAGTGTAGACAACAACCCCTGTCCAATGGACTTTAATAAGAGCCCTGCCTAGAGCTACTATAAGGAGACCCAGGGTAACTGAAGCTGAGATTTCTCTTCTTCAAAGTGGGTAATCTCGATTTTTTCCAATGTTCTTCATGGCTTCTTTTCCAACCTTTAGAAAATCTTTGTCGACATAGAATCCTTTCCAGATGTCATTTTAAAGTCCCCCTAAAATTGTACAGACAACTTAAAAAGATAGGTGTATGATTCTAACGTTAATTTTCTTCTAATTCACCGTGACCTTTTCTATGCAAATCAAAATCCATCATATCCTTACTGTTTGTACTTCTTTTCTTCATCGGTTAAAAATAGTAATATTTCTATAAGCAGCAGTGCTTTGGAAAAGGCAATCCTTGTTCATTTCTTTTTTGTCAAAGAAGCCAGATTTCTTCTTGATTTCCCCCAAGATATGCTTGCCTTTGAGACTTAATGATGAAAACAGAGACACAAAATTCCTCAATATTTCCCCACATGCTTCAATTTTAGTAAACCTTAGACTTTACACTCATTTCACACTATTATAATTTCCTCTATATTTTATTCTGCTTTGCTTCCTTCCTATTTGATCTTTTGCAGAATGAACTATCTTATGCGCTTTGAATTCTGTAGTATATTGGATTGTAAGCACCCTCTTATGAATTTTACATTAGATACTTAACATACTGTACATTCTTAAAAGTGTACTTATCATACCATTGTAACTTAAGACAATTTCTAATTTAATTTATTGAAAGCAAGAAATTTAACACTTTTAGTTTTTCTATCTACTCTTTCATACTCTGTACAGATTTATAACAACTCCCCAGCATCTAAAAGAAAAAAAGAAGCATTTTTATGCACATAGACTCATACTCTTTTCTAATTTGGATCACATATACACAGTTTTGTATTGTGGTTTCTGTGTCAGAAAAAAATACGGATTTCAATTAGCAGTTCTCAAACCTTTTAATCTTAGGACCGCTTTGTACTCCTAAAGATAATGGAGGACTCCAAAAAGCTTTTGTTTATGTGGATTATTTCTATCAATATTTATTGTATTAGAAATTAAAACTGAGAGCTTTAAAAATGTTTCTTTATTAAATCACTTTAAAATAACAAGGATAAATGTTAATGTTAACATTAATGTTAACATGAATACATTTTAATGCAAAATAACTGTATTTTCAAAATTTCAAAAGCTTAGTGAGAAGAGTGTCATTGTTTTACACTTTTGTAAATTTCTTTCATGTCTGGCTTAATGGAAGACAGCTGGGTTCTCATACCTGCTTCTGCATTCCGTCTGTTTTGACATCACATGGAATACAACCACCTCTGGAAAGTTCTTAGAGAATGAGAGTGGAAAAGGCAAGTCACGTCCTATTGTTATGAAAGTAGCTCTGACTTCACGAACCGCCCCCAATGGTCTTAGGCATACCCAGGAGTCCCTGGACCACACTTTAAAACTTCTGATATAGATTACCATTTTAAAGATTGTATAGAATCTTAGAATAGGCTTATCATTTTAAAGACTGTATAGGATCCTACATTCATACAGTCTTTAAAATGATAACGTGGGCGCCTGGGTGGCTCAGTTGGTTAAGCAACTGCCTTCGGCTCAGGTCATGATCCTGGAGTCCCTGGATCGAGTCCCGCATCGGGCTCCCTGCTCTGCAGGGAGTCTGCTTCTCCCTCTGACCCTCCCCCCTCTCATGTGCTTGCTCTCTCTCATTCTCTCTCTCTCTCAAATAAATAAATAAAATCTTAAAAAAAAATGATAATAACGTAGGGATAATAATGTATGACAAACGTATGGAACATTCATACGCTAGGATCGGGTATTATCTGATTTGATACACACTATCGCTGCCCCGGAGCCCTGGGTACTAGGATCATACATGAATGTTCCATATATTTATCATTTATTTGTGGCTGGAGTGATTTTAGTTATTTTGAAAGTAATCTTTTGTTTTGTTTTTATCTTTTGGAAGCTTGCAGGATTCCATTTCCTGGAAGTTTAAAATCTTTACTAAAAATACATCAGGCAATTGATATCCCATCAGTTTTTCCCAAGAAAAACGGTGAGTTTGCTGAAATGTAATCTCTGGTTCCATTTCATATCTGAAGAGTTTCTTCTATTTTTTCCTTTGGTTACTGCTTCTCAACTTTTTGCCTCATGTTTTGGGAGCTCTTGTTATTCAAAGCAGAGACCTTGATTACATACCTTGTCTATCTTTTTGTTAAATTCTTCTGAATTTCAGAAATGTGTCTCTATCCTCCACGTTGCTGATTGAGTTGTCTGTTCGATCGTGTCTTCTTTTTATTGCTTCAAAAAGAAGTTATTTGGCCTAATGTTTTGATTTTAGACAGGGTGTTCTTATTTAACAAATACAATATTTTCTTTTCTAATTTAGATTATTTTCTAAAATTTTCATTTTCTTTCATCTTGTTTCACATTAATGCTTCACTCTTCTAATGCCACAGAATATTTTCATAGGTTTTGGGTTCAGTGTTAAATGTTTTTTTGTTTGTCTGTTGGTTTTGGTCACCAAATTATATTTGCTGATATATATTATTACTGCTTGGGAGCCCTGGCTACTAAAATTTACCCTCCACATCTTGTTCATATATAGAGAAAACTTACCTGGACTTAACCCACCTGAAAAGGCAGGTAGGATAAGGATGCCACTCACAACTTCTCCCTGACTATTCTAGGTGGTAAGAAGTATCTCCTCAAAGCCTAGCGCCTGAGGGTATCCCTGTCCTGGGAGTGACCATAAGGAAATTCATGGGCTGGAGCAAAGCTCGATGAGAACAGAGCAGAGACTTTCTATGCTATTCAGTGAACAAGAAGGACAAACCCTAAAAAAAGAAAGCAGAAGCAAGAGCAGGGCACTATAGTCCTTGTCATTTGATTGGACAGAGAACATCAGGGAATGAATCGCAGTGTGCTCAAGCATCTCTTTTGTAGTTACTGCGGAAGATTCAGCTGTTTTCGGGTAGCATTTTAAGGGAAGTGTGGAAAAGCAATGATGGTTGTTGTAATTGCTCCACTTTCCAGAATTAGCTCTCTAATGGTTTCCAGAAGATCAGAAAAGGTTAGCTATTTACTTATTAATTTAATCTAACTCTGTTTACTTATTAACTTCCTATGGGCACAGTGCTTACCAAGCTGGTGTTTTTTTCAACATTAATATCAGCAGGGGCTCTTCAACTTTCAATAACAATTTTTTTTTAGCATACTCTGTTAGAAAAAAAAAAATTTCCAAACCAAACAGCAACAGTCTTAATAGTGTCATTGTTATTAGGTACTGTACTAGTCTCCTCTACAAATTCCCACAAACGTAGAACCTTAAAACAACACACATTTCTTATCTTAGTTTAGGATACCAGAAGTCTAAAATAGGTCAGCAAAACTGTCTGGGGGCTCTAAGGGAGAATCTGTTTCATGGTCTTTTCCTGCCTTTAGAGGCTGCCTGCAGTGCTTGGCTCGTGGCCATTTCCTCCATCTTCAGAGCCAGCTGGGTAGCATCTTCTCTCCTCTCTGACCTCCTGCCTCCCTCTTCTAAGGACTCTTGTGATGAATTGGGCCCACCTGAAAAGTCCAGAATAATCTCCCATCTTAAGATTCTTAATTTGATCACATCTACAAAGTCCCTTTTGATTATTAGGTAATATATTCAGGAGTTCTGGGGATTAGGACATGGACATCTTTGGGGGGGGGGCATTATTCGGCCTGCTACAGTTACCATTCATTAAATGTCTTCTATGTGGCAGGTACTCTACCAGAAGCAAGTCATGTAATTGCATTATTCTTTAAAGCAACCGTGTGGTATTTTTACTGATTAGAAAATGGAGGCTGAGAGGAGATCAGAAAGAGCTCTGTCCTAAATCCCAGGCCAGTTTGTCCAACTGTCTCCTTGACATCTCCACTTGGATGTCTAATAGGCCTCTCAAACTTAACGTGTCCCAAAGTAAGCTCTTGTGATTCCTCCCTACAACCTGCTCCACCAGCAGCAATCCCCGGCTCAATAATGGCACCACCCTCCCAGCTGCTCAGGCCACCGGAATCACTCCTTCTCCTCTTTCTCGCACATCTCACTTTTGATGGGTCACAAAATCCTGCTGGCTCTCTCCTCATAACACATGCAGAATTTGACCATGTCTCACCATGTACATGGCTACCACACAGGTCTCAGCTCTCCTCATCTCGCCCTTGGAATATTAGAGCAGGCTTCTGCCCTTACCTCCAGTTAATATATTTTCAACAGCCAGAGTGATCTTTTAAAAAAACATAAACAAGAGCACTTGACTCCCTGCTCAAAACACCAATGTCTTTCTGCCTCATTTAGAAGAAGAGCCAAAGTTCATTCTTTCATCTTCAAAACCCTACACGATGCAACTTCATCCCCTACGTGTCTTCCCCTTACTCACTTCACTCCGGCTCTACCGACCTTCTTACTTTTCTTTGACACTTCCAAGTATACTGCTGCCTCTGGGCTTTGCATTGGCTATTTTCTCCATGTGGAATATCTTCCTCCAGATATTGGCATAATAAGCCTCCTCACCTCTTTCAGGTCTTCTCCCAGATGTCATCTTGTAGGAAAGCCTTTTTAACCTCTCCATCCCTAACATTTTATATGAAAATATTACCCTTCTGTCCCTCACATTTTATATTCCCACTTTCTGTTTTATCTTTCTCTTTAGCACTTATGTCCATCTAACCTACTATATATGTGACTTACATAATAGGGATGCATATGTGTGAGCATACAGTTGGGGTAGCTAGCCTCCAAAGTGACTACCAGGGAGTTTCACCTCTCAGGGTTCAAGCCCCCTCCCATGTCAGGAAAGACCTCTATAATCAATATCATATATACATTATGTATACATGTATATTATATATGTATGCACGTACATTTTACATATATGTGTGTATGTGTATATATGAATATATGTACATATATATGTATATACATGTGTATATGTGTGTATATATGTGTATATATATATCGTATATACATAATCAATCAGAAAAGATGGTGCAAGGCTCCAAAGCTAGGTCATAAAAGATATCGCAGCTTTCGCCTTGCTCTATCTTGGATCACTCACTCCAGAGGAAGCCAGTCTCCATGTTGTGAAGACACTCAGGCAGCTCTAGGGGGAGGTCCACGTGGAGAAGAAATGAAGCCTCCTGCCAAGAGTCAGCACCCACTAGCCATCCATGTGAGGGAGTCAACTTTGAAGTAGATCCTTCAGCCCCACTCAAGTTTTCAGATGACTACAGCTCCAGTCAATGTCTTGACAACAACTTCATGAGAAACCCTGAGCTAGAATCCAACTAAGCTGGTCCCAAATTCCTGACCCATAGAAATAAAGAAAGAAGAAATATTGTCAATCAAAATGTGACTCTTTCTTCCTACCTTACCTCTACTGGAAATCTCTTTATAAGTCTTATGGTATTTGGTAAATCTAGGGTGTCTAAATGTTTTCTAGTGTTGCATTGTTCACATTCCCTAGTGAGAAAGAACAACCTTTATTTGTAGCTAAAATCTTAATACTTGTGAAATGAAAAATTCAGTCATTTCCACACTAAAACCTGAAACCTTTCTGTGACAATTCTGGTTTTAATTCTTGTTTATATTACAATTTCTAAATTGGGTCTGAACATGATGCACCCTATGTGAATACCAGTGTCTGTGCATGGATACTCGAACTATAATAAAGCCTTACATATAATTGGCGCTTTGTATACACTTTCATTTAGAAGGCACTTACATGTGGTCTTCATGGTAACATCTGAGAAGCTCTCAGGGCAGGTACTCTTTCCATTTTACAGATGAGAAAATTGATCGTCAAAGAAGTTAAAGTATCCTCTTAAGATTAGTAGGGAATGGATGGTCAATATAGAATTTCTCTACATCCTAGTTCGGTTCCTCACATTGCTCTAGACGCTTGTTGGCAGGGTTTGTACTGACCTGAGGTAATTAAGTCAAGTGCAGCAGGAACTCCAATGAGTCTGGGGAGAAGCTGGGTTCCTCTTGCACCAGGAAGGATTCCCAATGTGACTTCTGGGAAGCCAATTTGAGCCTATCAAAGTTTGAAGGCATGAAGATCATAAGAGTGAGATGACTTGTAGAGTCAAGGCAAGCATTCCCCTGATTTCCCACACTCTAAAAAACGCCGTTCCATAATATTCGGCAAGAGTTTCTACAGGGCAAATTAGTGTACACTCTACTTTACTCAACAGCATAAACAGAGCTGTGCTGTCCCTAAGTCTTCATGTTGAAACACATCCCTAGCTTCTTACACACTTTTTCTCTGACTCCATTATGACCTGTTTGGGCCAACAAAAATGATATTCTCCAGAAACAGCTGTATGGAGCCCTAAAAGAGCCAGGCAGCCAAGAAATTAAAAAGACAACCCACAGAATAGGAGAGAATATTTGCTAATCATATATGTAGAATACATAAAGAACTTTGTCAACTCAATAATAAAAAGACAATCCAATTAAAAAGGGGCAAAGCAACTGCATAGACATTTCTCCCTAGAAGAGATACAAAATGGCCAACAAGCACATGAAGAGATGGTTCAATATCATTAGCCATCAGGAAAATTCAAATCAAAACCACAAGATACTACTTCACATCCACTAGGATGACTATAATAAAAAGATAGACAATAACAAGTGTTGGAGAGGAGGTGGAGAATACAAAACCCTCATACATTGTTAGTGGAAATATGAAATGGTACAGTCACTTTGAAAAATAATTTGGCAGTTCCTCAAAGTTTAAACACAGAGTCACCATATGACCCAGTAATTCTACTCCTGGATTTATACCCAAGAGAAATGAAAACACGCCCCCCACCCCCCACACACAAAAGGTACACACATTTTCATAGCATCATTATTCACAAAGGCCAAGAAAATGGAAACAACTCAAATGTCGATTAATTGACGAATGGAAAAAGAAAATGTCGTGTATCTATACAAGGGAATATTATTAGGCCATAGAAAGGAATGAAGTACTGATACAGGCTACAATATGGGTGAACCTTGCAAACATTATGCTAAGAGATAGAAGCCATAAAAGACAACGTATTCTATGATTCCATTTATATGAAATGTCTAGAATGGGCAAACCCATAGAGACAGAAAGATTAGTGGTTGCCTAGGACTGGGGGAGAGGGCAGATGGTGGGTTACTCCTAAAGGGTATGAATTTTCTCTTTGGGATAATAAAATGTTCTAAAATCAACTGTGGTAATGGGTACACAACTCTGTGAATATGCTAATATACCATTCAATTGTACACTTCAAATGAGTGCATTATATGGTATGTGAATTTTATCTCAATAAAGCTACTGCAGAAAAATAATCAGGCAACAACCTCAGTCCAGACAAGAGGGTGAGCTTGAGTCCTTTATCACATGCCTCTCCTGGCTATTTAAAGGTGGCTAAAGCTTGGGGCATCTGGGTGGCTCAGTTGGTTAAGTGTCCGGCTCTTGATTTTGGTTCATGTCATGGTCTCAGGGTTGTGAGATCGAGCCCTACATTGGGCTCATGCTGGGTATGGAGCCTATTTGAGATTCTTTCCCTTTCCCTCGGTCTGCACTCCCCACACCCCACCATCCCCCCTTCTCCCACTCACGCACACATGCTCTCTCCCTCTTTCCATAAAAAAAAAAAAAAAAAAGTAGCTAAAGCTCTGTTAGTCTTCTTCCAGGTGCAGGATGGGAGGAGGAGAGTGCTTTAATGCAGACTGTCATGTACCCACATTGTGATGCCAACAGCTCCAAAATAAATATTTTTTTCTCTCTCACACAAGGCTTTCCTAACAGTCAGTCATGATTTTTTCTACCACTGTTCATCCCCATCCCCTGACTTATTATTGCTCATAACTTAGATCTGCCCTCAGTGTGCAGAAGGCATGGTAAGAGGGACACAGAAAAAGGAGCACTTAGGATATATGTCTTTATTCATAAGCCTTTATAAAAATTAAAATGCCCTAAGGAAATAGTTAAATAAATTATGGTATATCTATAAGACAAATTATACAGTCATTTAAAATGATATTTTTAAAGACTATTTACAATAAGATTAACAGCAAATTTCTCATCAGAAACCATGGAGGCCAAAAGGCAGTGGATGACATATTCAAAGCACTGAAAGTAAAAACCTGTCAAACAAGAGCTCTATACCTGGCAAAACTAGCTTTTGAAAATGAAGGCAAATTAGGGGTGCCTGAGTGACTCAGTCGGTTAGGTGTCTGGTTAAGTGTCCGACTCTTGGTTTCAGCTCAGGTCATGATCTCATGGGTCATGAGATCGAGCCCAAACAGGCCTCTGAGCTCAGTGGGGATCTGCTTCAAGATTCTCTCCCTCTGCCCCTCCCCTCACTCGTGCACACATGTGTGCATATGTGCTCTCTTTCTCTCTAAAATAAATATTTTTTAAAAAAAGATAGTAAAGGAAAAAAAAAGCTGTAAGAAAAAAACTGTTAGGTAGGAAAAAGACCAGAAGAAAACAAAATAGAATGCTAATAGTGATTATTTCTGAACTGTGAGTTTATGGGTGATTTTAGTTTACATCTTTGTAGTTTCCTGTATTTTCTAGTCTATTACAATGATCAATATTATCTTTATCATTAGAAAAATATGTTACTTACAAAAATGTTACCATTGTTAAGGCTAGTATCACAGACCTCATCTACAGACCTAATAGCCCAAATTAAATGTATTTACAGAAACAAATGGATTTACAGTTTTGTGCTATTTTTGAATAGGAAATTGTCTTCTTAGGTACTGATAATCAAGAGGGACCACAAAACCGAAACATTTGAGACAGGGAATAAAATTTTAGGGGCACCTGGGTGGCTCAGTTGGTTGGGTGACTGCCTTTGGCTCAGGTCATGATCCCAGGTCAGGGTCCTGGGATGGAGCCCCACATTGGGCTCCCTGCTCAGTGCGGAGTCTGTTTCTCCCTCTCCCTGCTGCTCCCCCTGCCTCTGCTCTCCTGCTCTCTCTCTGTCAAATAAATAAAATCTTTAAAAAAATTTTTTTTAAAAAGTACACATACTCAGGATGATAGTCAAAATATTTTATACCTCATACTGCATGAACATGGCTCGGAGGAACCTGACCTGAGCCATACTACTGGAGCAGAGTCCTGGGGGCCCAGTACTGATCCAGGAGTTCCCCTTTAGGTGATGGATCATGGGGAGACCCAAGGGACAGGGTTAGGGGAAGCAAAGGAACAGTCATGGGGCTCAGGCTAATAGCTATTTACCCATTGGAATGGACATATTTCACCAGCTACTACCATTGTGCTGGTACATAGCAGCTGCAAAACCAGTGGCTAAAAATAGATGAGTTGTCAACCAGTGAGCTAGCCCTTTAAAATGAACACCTCTGAGGCTTACAGTGCATTTAGGTTTTGCCTTAAAGAAAAGTCCCCCACACCAAGCCCCATACGGAGCTTTAGCTGTTACCTCTGCGTGGGCAATCCTATAGTGACAGCCCAGGGCCAGCTCCAGTCCCCCTCCTAAAGCCAGGCCTTGAATAGCTGCCACCACAGGCTTCTCATTTCTCTGTATTTCATCTACTACATGTCCCAGTACGAAGTCAGACTTTCTAGGTGTCCCGAAGCTGTGGATATCAGCACCTAAGGACACAGACAAGGAGAAAGAGAGCTGAGAAAGACGTGGGCTCTGTTACATAACAATAAGGCGACAGCTAACTGTCAAGGAATCTCAGACCTCTTAGGGCCCATGAAACATTTCATCCTTTAGTTGGACGCACAGTGAAGAAAAAACAGCCTAGAAAATGGAGAACAACCTGAGAGACAATCCCCAAATCTTTATCAAGAATCCTGTAATCTTCTAAAATATGTCTTTCCATATGATAGGTAGCCACCTTCAAAAAAAATTAAGGAGTGCCTGGGTGGCATAGTTGGTTAAGTGTCTGACTCTTGGTTTCAGCTCAGATCATGATCCTAGGGTCCTAGGATCGAGCCCCGCATTGGGCTCCTTGCTCAACATGGAGTCTGCTTGAGATTCTCTCTCTCTCCCTCTCCCTCTGCCCCTCACACTTGTGCTCTCTCTCTAAAATAAATAAATAAAATTAAAAAAAAATTTTTTTTTAATTAAAAAGCTCAGGGGCACCTGGGTTCAGTCAGTTGAGTGCCAACTCTTGGTTTTGCTCAGGTCATGATCTCAGGGTCGTGAGATCCAGCCCCAAGTAGGGCTCCACACTCAGTAGAGTCAGCTTGAGATTCTTTCCCTCTCCCTCTTCCTCCTCCTATGCCCATCTCCCTGCTTACACGTGCACTCTCTCTCTCTCAAATAAATCAATATATAAAATCTTAAAAAAAAAAAAAAACATTAAAAAGCCCAGAGAAGGGAAATAGAGAATCTGAAGTTGAGCCAGCCCTTCCTATTTTTTTTGCATGGTATTCCTCACCAACCTTATTCACAGCAATTTAGACCCAGATCTTCATTAAGAGCATGAAGGCATCACAACATAAAACTTCAGCATGAAACACATACATATTTATGAGTTATATGTTCATCAATCAGCTTGGAATTATGTTTTCATAATAGATTTTTTTTGTGATCAAGAAAAGTAACAAAATTTATTGGTTTCCCTAATCATAAAAATAACACATGTGGGGCACCTGGGTGGCTCAGTTGGTTACCTGTCTGCCTTCGGCTCAGGTCATGGGGATGGAGCCCCGCATTGAGCTCCCTGCTCAGGGGTAAGCCTGCTTCTCCCTCTCCCTCTGCTGCTCCCTCTGCTTGCGCTCACTCTCTCTAATAAATAAATAAAATCTTTTTTTTTTTTTAAGATTTTATTTATTTGCGAGAGAGAGAATGAGAGAGAGAGAGCATGAGAGGGAGGAGGGTCAGAGGGAGAAGCAGACTCCCTGCTGAGCAGGGAGCCTGATGTGGGACTCGATCCCGGGACTCCAGAATCATGACCTGAGCCGAAGGCAGTCGCTTAACCAACTGAGCCACCCAGGCACCCTAAATAAATAAAATCTTAAAAAAAAAATACATGCATTACAGAAAATTTGAAAAATATCCAGAATAATAAAGAACATAAAGACCACCTCAAAAATCACCACAGAGATAACAATGTAGTATTTTGGTGAATTCTTAGTTGTTTCCCAGTGCATATATGTAAATGGCTTTGTGACCTTCAGTAAGTTATTTGTTTAGCCTTTTAATCTCAACACCTATCCTAAATGACTTATGAGAGAATTAAACAAAAGTTTATTATAATATATATTTAACAATATTGAGAGTATTCTATAACATCATTTTTCGTATTTTCCTTTTTTCACATAACATTATAAATAATGAGCATTTTCCCTATAGCATTATCTATTCTTTAAAAACATTAAGCAAGGGTGTCTAGGTGGCTCAGTCGGTTAAGCCTCTGCCTTTGGCTCAGGTCATGACCCCAGGGTCCTGGGATCGAGTCCGAATCAGGCTCCTTCCTCAGCAGGGAACCTGCTTCTCCCTCTACCTCTGCCGCTCCCCCTGACTATGTGCCCTCTCTCTCTGTCAAACAAATAAATAAAATCTTAAAAAAAAAAAAAAAAAAGCAGGTCTTTCTGCCCATGGGTCCTGTCCTTGTGCTTTAATAAAACCACCCTTTTGCACCCAAATATATAAATAAATGAATAAATAAAAACATTAAGCTTGGTATAAGTTAAAAAGTTAAAGCAATTATTTCATATTCAGCCTATTCATCTTTTTGTTTCTACCAGCTTCTTAACTAGCATTATGGTTTTTTTCTTACCAATCCACTGTATTCACATTCTAACCTAGTGCTATTATTATTGTTATTATTTAGATTCCTTTTTGGCTTAAGAAAAACAAGATCTATTTCAGCCTGCATCTCAGGCCTATCAATCCTGTGACTTTAGATTTAAATGATTTTCATATCCTAAAGCAATTAGCACATATTGGATAAATACTTTACACTGTGCACTGTGCTAAGTAGTTTCATATATTCTCTTACTTCATTTTCTTAACACCGAGATTAAGTGTATAACAATCCCCATTTCCCAGGTCAGGAAGGCTTTGAGCTGTTAAGTGGCTAGTTCAAACACATGACCAGTTAATGACTGGTAGAATAAGGATTTGAACTCAGGCACTTTAACTACATAGCCCATATTCTTAAATGTTATACTACATACATCCTTCTACTTGCTACATAAGGTTAGTATTATTATCCCATTTTACAGAAACCAAGGCACAGACAAGAGTACAGTGATTTCATTTTTTAACTGTGTATTTCTGGCCTATAGAAATGTAATTAGGGGCGCCTGGGTGGCTCAGTCGTTAAGCGTCTGCCTTCGGCTCGGGTCGTGATCCCAAGGTCCTGGGATCGAGCCCCGCGTCGGGCTTCCTGCTCCGTGGGAAGCCTGCTTCCCCCTCTCCCACTCCCCCTGCTTGTGTTCCCTCTCTCGCTATCTCTCTCTCTGTCAAATAAATAAATAAAATCTCGGGCGCCTGGGTGGCTCAGTCAGTTAAGCGTCTGCCTTCGGCTCAGGTCCTGATCCCAAAGTCCTGGGATCGAGCCCCGCATCGGGCTCCCTGCTCCGCGGGAAGCCTGCTTCCCCCTCTCCCACTCCCCCTGCTTGTGTTCCCTCTCTCGCTGTGTCTCTCTCTTCAAATAAATAAATAAAATCTTAAAAAAAAAAAAGAAATGTAATTAATTTTTGGATATTGATTGTACATCCAGCAAAATTCTCATATTAATTCTAATAATTTTCTAATAGATTATTTTGATTTTTCTGCAAACACTATCATATCTTCTGGATAATGAAGTTTCATTTTTTCCTTTCCAATCCCTATACCTTTCATTTGTTTTTCTGGCCTTACTGGGCTGGCCAGGGCCTGGAACACAATGTCAAACAGAAATGGTGATAGCAGCTAGCCATGTCTTCTTCCTTTCTCATAAGGAAAGCTTTCAATTTACCATTTTACTTGATATTTGCTGTAGGTTTTCCAAAATGGATAAAGACATTTTCTTTCTATACCTAGTTTACAGGAATTTTTATTTTTAATACATGTCAGATTTTATCAAGTGTTTTTTTCTGCATTTCTTGAAAAAAAAAACCACATGTTTTTTCTCTTTCAATCTTTCATATAGAATGAAAAACATTAATCTTCTAATGTTCAACCAATCTGGTATTTATGGGAAAAAGGTGATGTCTTCCACTTTTTATATGTTGTTAGATTCAATTTTATAATATATTGTTCAAGATATTTTATATCTAGGTTTATGAATGAAACTGGCCTTTCATTTTGCTTTTTTTTTCATTGCAAATTTCATTCATAAATTTTGCTTTTTCATACTGGCCTTGACAGGTGTTGGTACCAAAGTTATGCTAGCCTCACCCAACGAATTGGGAAGTGTACTGGATTGAACCTATGACACTTACTTTATTGGAAATAGGGTCTTTGCAGATATAATTGAGTAATAATGAGGTCATACTGGATAAGGGTGATCTGTATAAGCTCAGGGAAATCTGGACACAGGGGAGAGGCCCATGGGAAGAGAGAGGCAGAGATAGGAGTGAGAGAGCAAGAAGCCAGGGAACACCAAGGGTTGCCAGCAACCACAGAAGCTAGAGAAGGCAAGGAAAGATTCTTCCCTAGAGTCTCCAGAGTAAGAATGGCCTGGCAGATATCTTGATTTTGAGCTTCTGCCCTCCAGAACTACGAGAGAACAGATTTCTGTTGTTTTAAGTCACCTAGTTTAAGTCATTTGTTATCAGCCCTAGGAAACTAATATGGGAAGTGTTCCCTCTTTTTTTACTACCTAAAACATTTGTGTAAAATTAAAATAATATTTCCCTTGACTTTTTAGTTAGAGCTTCCCAAGAGTCACCTGGGGCTGGAATTTACTTTGTGAAATTTTTGATTACTGACTCAATTTCTTTAATGGTTTTCTGTTTCCTCTTGAGTCATATTGGTAAGCCATAATATTTTCATAATATTTTTGTTATGTTTTTTAATGGCTACAACATCTGCAGTGCAATCCCATTCACAATTCCTTATATACATTGTGCCTTCTCTTTTTTTCTTGATCAATCTCTCCAGAGGTTTGTCAATTTTACCAGTCTTTCAAAGAACTAAGTTTTTTTTTAATTTAATTTTATTATGTTAGGTTAGTCACCATTCATTACATCATTAGTTTTTGATGTAGTGTTCCATGATTCATTGTTTGTGTATAACACCCAGTACTCCATTCACATGCCCTCTTTAATACCCATCACCAGGCTAACCCATCCCCCCATCCCTTCCCCTCTAGAACCCTCAGTTTGTTTCTCAGAGTCCATAGTCTCTCATGGTTCGTCTCCCCCTCCAATTTCCCCCCTTCCTTTTTCCCTTCCTACTATCTTTCAAAGAACTAACTTTTGACATAATCTTGAATCACATTTGTTTCTATCTCATTAATTTCTCCTCCTCCTTATTCCCTTCCTCCTACTTCACTGGGTCTATTTCATGCTTGTTTTGTTATTTCCTTGATACAGATGCTTAGCTTTTTTATGTTTCAGTCTGTTTTCTGATAAATACCTTTATGGTTATAAATCTCCTGCTAAGTTTTGCTTTAGCTGTATCCCTCAAGTTATATATGTTGCATTTTCACTATCATTTAGTTCAACATATTTTCTAAATTCTATTATGATTTCTGCTTTGGCTCAGAGATTGTTAAGAAATGAATCTAATTTCTAAACATATGGGTATTTCTAGTTATATTTTTGTTATTGATTTCTAGTTTAATTGCATTGTTGTCAGAGAATGCATTCTAAGTGAAATTTATTGAGACAAGTTTTGTGGTCCAGTATCTGGTCAAATTTGTAAATGTTGCAGATTTAAGAAGAATGTATATTTTCCAATTGTTGAGTGCCTTGTTCTATATAAATCCATTAAGTCTAACAACTTCTAATGCTTTTCTAGGAGAATAATTTTTTTCTGTCCTTGAGCTCTAACTACATTCTCTCTTTTCTACCTCCTTTCTTACAAAGAAATATCAAGTTCTTCATCATTGGGATCCCTCTCTCCATGCCGCAAAGTCACTATCTTGGGCTCCTGACCTCAAGTTTTCAAACAACAATTAAGCCATTTAATAACTGGTTAACATTTGGCACGGTATTTTAATCTCTCTCGGGCTCATCCTTCTCATCCGTAAATGGAGATGGTAGGATTTACTGAGGGTTAAAATAGAATATGTGTAAAAATACTGTTTTCATTATTAATAAATAAATAACCTACACAACTGGCACATAGTAGGCAATTATTATAATGACTGACATTTTTACTTTTTTAAAAAAGATTTTATTTATTTATTTGACAGAGAGAGAGAGACAGCGAGAGAGGGAACACAAGCAGGGGAGTGGGAGAGGGAGAAGCAGGCTTCCCGCCGAGCAAGGAGCCCGACGTGGGGCTCGATCCCAGGACCCTGGGATCATGACCTGAGCCAAAGGCAGACGCTTAACGACTGAGCCACTCAGGCACCCCCATTTTTGCATTTCTTTATTGTCATGATTCCAATATCTATTTCTTCTCAGGTTTCAGTTAACATATATTAAATTCCCTTGGCTGCAGTAAGATCACATAGGCCCTCCTATCCACGTGACTTTTGTTAAAGGGCATAAACATATTTAATTGGGAAAAGAAAAGTTGTCACAAATACTACTGAATCCCCATTTCAGATTCTTTTGCCATATGTTTTCAATATTTTTGCATCTTCATGGAATAACCCAATAAAGATTGCCATGGTCCCTGAGATGCGTGACTCTCAGAAGAAAAATGAATTCCATTTCAAATTTCTGTGTGATATAAAAAATAACACTGACTGAACATCTTCTGATGCAGGCAGGCACTGAACTAGGGACTTTCAGATATATCTCATGCAACCTCAAAAAACCTGTTAAGATAGATATTACTACCTACTTTCTCTTTTTTTAAAGATTTTATTTATTTATTTGAGAAACAGAGAGCAGAAAGAGAAAAAGAGAGAGAGAGTGAGGACAAGCGGGGGGTGGGAGGGGCAGAGGCAGAGGGAGAAGCAGACTTCCCTTGAGCAAGGAGCCCGATGTGGGGCTCGATGTGGGGCTCGATCCCAGGACCCCAGGATCATGACCTGAGCATAAGGCAGACACTTAACCGACTGAGCTACCCAGGCGGCCCTACTATCTACTTCTAAGTAGAGAAACTGAGGTTCAGGAGATTACAGGGATTTGCCCAAGCTCACATAGGGTGGAGGTATATGCAGAGCAGAGATGTACGAACATACCTGCTAGTGGTTAGTGTTAGTTAGTATATACTAGCAGGCATAACACCCATCAAGTCTGGCACCTAATGTCCTCCAAAGGCCCAATTCAATATAAAAGAGAGTAAGGTCAGAGTCTTCCTTGGGTCTCTTTGTGATTCTTTCTCTCTACAATGTTTCTCATTCCCACTCAAGTCTCCCATATCCTTTACCCACCCTAAGGCATTACCCACAGAGATAGCGCATGCAGTATGGGTCTCAGTCTGTGGCTGGTTTCCGGAGACAGTGGGAGAGGGCGAGAGACTGGTTACCTGCAGAGAATTTGCCATCCGCTCCACAAATCACAATGGCTTTTACTGTATGGTCTGTTACAGCTTTCTGCAGTCCCTCTCGTATTCCATGGAGTACAGCCGTACTAAGAAAAAAAAATATATGAGGCATTAGAATTGAATTTCTACCATCTCAGAGTTTTTTCCTTTTCTAACAATGAAAAATTAAACATACACACAATGGATAAAAACCCTAGTTACTTACTATTCAGTTTTCACTAATTAAACAACTGATAATATACATGTTGGGGCGCCTGGGTGGCTCAGTTGGCTAAGAGTCTGCCTTCGGCTCAGGTCGTGATCCCACCGTCCTGGGATCAAGCCCCACGTCGGGGTTGGGCACCCTGCTGAGTGGGGACTCTGCTTCTCCCTCACCCTCTGCCCTTCCACTCCACTCATGCTCTCTCTCTCTCTCGCTCACTCTCACTGTCTCAGATAAATAAAAAATCTTAAAAAAAAATGTGTATGTCAACTGTGAATTAAGCACGAAGCTAAATAAATGAATAAACTTTTTTAAAAAAGTATTTTCCTGAACTTTGCTGTAACTTTGACCACTTAGAAGCAGTACTCATCAATTTTAAAATATTACTGTACATCCTCTATGTACTGGAAAATGAGTTTACAACATCCTAGGAAATAATAAAATATCACACTAAGATGAGTGGTGTAATAAAAGTACAAAAAAAGTGATGTGGACGTTCACAAAGAGAACTTACTTACAATTTGTCATATTAGCAAAATATAAGAAAACTGAAATAGTCTAACAGAAACAACCTAAGAGATGTGTCAGGGGCTTCAAGTTACCCCAAATATCCAACCCTCCCCACTTTCTTCCAAGTATTAAGCATCTAGTTTTTAGCTGGATACATGACTGCCTAAAGTCAAGACTGCATTTTCCAGCCCGCTATGCAGTAAAGCCAGCGTACGACATTAAGTTCTGGCCAATAAGATGGCTGCAACTTTGGCAAGAGTCCTTAAAGGATTGGGTATGCTTTTCTCTTTTCCTTTTCTGCCAGGAATGGGGATGTGAAGGCTAGATCATGAGCAGCCATCATGGACCAAGCGGTGGAAACCTTGTATTGAGGATGGCAGAGCAAGAGATAAACGGATGGGATCCCTGATGATTGCAGAGCAGTCATACCACTCAAAGACACTGCTGTGAAAGAAATCAACTTCTTGTTTAATCCACTACTCTTTTGTGAGTTTTCTGTCTCTGACAGCCAAACCTAATACTAACTAAGTTAGGAGGCAAAGGCAAGGTCTAGGAAAGAAAAGGCATATAACAGACTGCTAAGTTTCATTGATGAGGGTGTCATCCATAGAAGAGAGTCAAGATTGAATGAGTCTGCACAAGGAAAAGAGAGCTGAGGGTAAATCCTCTGGATACACCCTCATTGAAGAAGTGGGAGAGGCTCAGCAGAGAGATTCGGTACCAAGGGAGCCCAAAGTCACACAGATCAAGAGAAGAGAATTTGCCAAGAAGTAGAGGATCACTAAGTGTCAAGGGATAGTGAAGGAGGAGAACCTAGGAAACGTGATGAGGAATTACTTAAAGGAAAAATGACAGAACCAGAGTCCAATCAATTTTGCATTGGAATTCTAAGCATTCTGGGTGGAGTGTCTGTTCTAGTATACAGGGTGAAAAAAAATCTTAAAACAAAACAAAACGAAACAACAACAAACTCCTAGAAAAGTCAGAATGTTCAGACCAGCAACTATGAGTTAACACCTCGGGAAATAAAGGAGATACTGGTATATATTAACTCCCTTTCACCTCGTTACTTTTCATCATTTAACCTAGATGAAACCAAACAAACCCTCTTGGCTTTGACTAGTTAATTAGAAACCAAATCTGCTAAGAGTGCCTGGGCTCAGTTGGTTAAGCACCAACTCTTGATCTCGGCTCAGGTCCTGATCTCAGGGTCATGGGACTAAGTCCCCCAACACAGTCCCCCACCACCACATCCAGCCCCACATGGAGCCCCGAGTTGGCTCGGTGCTCAGCGGGGAGTCTGCTTGAGATACTCTCTCCCTCTCCCTCTGCCCCTCCCCCCGTGCTTGCTCACTCTCTCTCTCCCTCTCTAAAATAAATAAATCTTAAAAAAGAAGAAGAAACAAACAAACAAACCAACCTACTAATGAGATTTGGAACCATCCAGAATACTCAGAAGCCCAAAAGGCAAGTATTTCCTCTGGGTAAATAATGGCTGCAAAAGTAGCCAAAATCAGTGCCACTGAGGACAAGAAGCCGGCTTCCCTCATTTCAACCAAACTCTACTCTTCTATTTCTTACGGTCTTGCTAATTTTGCAAAAATGAAACAAAGGGAAATGAAAATGGCTGTAAACAGATACAGCTTTACTAGATTCAAGCCGAGTAAAGGGACCACAGCCTTGTAGCAATGACAAGTTTACAGGGGCTAAGAAATTATTTTGTCCCCTTAATATTGTCCAGGTATGGAGAAATCTAGAGTAAAGATAACATTTTCATGGGTGCTGAGCAAAGCTCTTTAGTTTCTGTGACTTTAGGAGGTCTTTCTTGTGACAGTTTTTTTAAAACCAAAGGTCATCAAATCAAGTTTGTAGCTTGTGACCAGCACTTTTTAAAAGATTTTATTTATTTATTTATTTATTTATTTGAGAGAGAGAAACAACATGAGAGGGGAGAGGGTCAGAGGGAGAAGCAGGCTCCCTGCTGAGCCGGGAGCCCGATGTGGGACTCGATCCCAGAACTTTGGGATCATGACCTGAGCTGAAGGCAGTCACTTAACCAACTGAGCCACCCAGGCGCCCCAGCACTTTTTTAATCAAAGAAATAGAAGAGAAGAGAAAAATAGAATATGATAAACTATATAACATGTAAGGATAAGGGTGGGGGTGGTTTTTTATTTGTTTTTATTTGTTTTTAGTAGGCTCCACCTCCAGCACAGAGCCCAGTGCAAGGCTTGAAGTCACGACCTGCCCCCCAGATTCACCTGAGCTGAAATCAAGAGTCAGACGCTTAACAGACTGAGCCACCCAGGCGCCCCGTAGGGATAAGTTTTGTTTCACAAAACTTTGTTTTCAGTTATGTGTGTGTATGTGTGTATATCAAGTTGCTATGTAAAACATGGGATTTCTTACTGTATGGATTACAGTAAAAAAAAAAGTATGAAAGCCATTGTTCTGAGAGACAGGCCTAGTAATCAGACATGTCCTATACTTATAAAGAGGGTTGGCATTCATCTGAATGGAAGGAAACTTCGCTGGCTAAACTTTTTTGGGGGACAAAAAAAAGTAAGAATCAGTGAGCTAGAAAGAAATAATTTCCCATATACAAGTAGGAAGGGGAAAATGAAGGAAAGAAAAGCATAAAGAAAAGAAATGGGGGGAGGCTGCCCGGCTGGCTCAGTCAGTGGTACATGAGACTCTTGATCTTGGGGTTGTGAGTTGGAGCCCCACGTTGGGTATGGAGATTACTTAAAAATAAAATCTTTTATTTTTTTAAAAGATTTTATTTATTCATTCGAGACACAGAGATACAGAGAGAGAGAGAGCATGAGCAGGGGGAGAGGCAGAGGGAGAGGGAGAAGAAGCAGGCTCCCCGCTGAGCCAGGAGCCAGACGTGGGGCTCGATCCCAGGACCCTGGGATCATGACCTGAACCGAAGGCAGACGCTTAACAATCTGAGCCACCCAGGTGCCCCCAAAATAAAATCTTTAAAAAAGAAAAAAAGAAAAATATAGGCAACCTGTTAAACTTGATGAACATGCTGGGATACATTCCTCTGTGTAAAATATAACTTCAGAATGGGTACCTGGCTGGCTCAGTCAGTAGAGCATGTGGTTCTTGATCTTGGGGTCTTAAGTTCAAACCCCACATTGGGTGTAGAGATTACTCAAAAATAAAATCTTAAAAAATGTGTATATATAACTTCAGAAGAAGATAGAAGAAAGGGTGGGAAAGCATTCCCAAGTAGAGAAAACTTGATGAAGCTGAAATAAACCCTGGGCAGCCAAGCCTGCTGGAGAGGCTTTCCATGATGGTAGCTAACACCTCCACAAGGACAGTTTATGATCTCCAGCATAGGTAAACTTCACCACAATGTTAGGAGGTGATACAAACATTTCTCTTGCAAGGGGGGAAAGGGCAGGCTAAATATGAGAAACGTTTAAAATTGCTATGAGAAAATATTTCTAGTTACGGGTATAAGACTGTGAAACTTTTTTCCCAAGTTCGTGATGGGCATGGTTTCCTGTTATGAGCAGAGGCTGAGGCAGAGTCCTGATACCTAGTATCTCTAATTAAAACACAGACAAGTCCAAAATGGATATGTAATCATATCACTTATGTTTTTCTTCATCAAACCCAAAATAACAGATATTTTGGGTTTTTTTTTCTGTGAATGGCAAGAAAGTGGACATATTCTTGTATGATTTTATTCCTGCTCTTTTTTTGTATTATTAAATGCAATAACATTAAAAATAAGAAGTACATTAATACTCATGATAAAATCAAATCTGATGACACAGTTAAATTAGCAGATCTCCTCATTCCAGTCTCTTATTCGCTCCAGCGGTATGTCGTAAGAATGTTGACCAAAGATCTTTCTCCCTGTTTTATATATTCTTTGTAAATTATAATTTCTGCTAATCCTACTCCCTGAGGATGGGTGGCTCTTTCCTGGGCTGATGGATCACTTTCCTTTTTACAAAGATATGTAAGAACCAAACCTATATAATTAAACATTTTTTAAATTAAAAACAGAAAGCCACCAGTTTTGAAAGCACGGCTTGTTAGGGGTGCCTGGGTGGCTCAGTCATTAAGCGTCTGCCTTCAGGTTGGGTCGTGATCCCAAAGGCCTGGGATCTAGCCCCGCATGGGGCTCCCTGCTTGGCGGGGAGCCTGCTTCTCCCTCTCCCTCTGCAGCTTCCCCTGCTTGTGCGCTCTCTGTCTCTCTGTCTCTGTCTCTCTGTCAAATAAATAAATAAAAACTTTAGGAAAAAAGAAAGCACGGCTGTAAGTACAGGGCACACATCTGTGGGAAACCTTAATAAGGAAGGTGCTCCATGATGAAATAAAAGAAGATAAACTGCACATTCGTTATTCAGGAAATGCGACTTAACGGGCTTCCTCCGAACGTTATCTACCACTGAAGCACCAAGGCATTGAGTTTAGAACAGATCAGGAGAAAGAACTTTGCATTTCTGCGCCACATCACAATTCACCTATTCTCACTGCCTTGGCACGAATGAGGACCTTTGTTAATTTTTTTTTTACAAACGTGAAGCCACCTTCTCATCGGATTTTTAAATCTTTCAGTCACACACTGTTAGGGTGGCCTGGACTTGAGGTTGGGAAGTGAGGGATCAGGGTCCAGCTAGCATTGTACCTTTGGAACAGAACGTACACCCGAGGAGTCAAAGCTGCTAACGAGCAGAAGGGCTGAGCACGAACCTGGCACGGACGACCCGGGTTCGAGCCCAGTCCGCCCACTTAGCAGCCATCTGCCTGCCTCTGAGCCTCAGTTTCCTCACCAGTGAAACAGGGATCAGAGCTCCCTGCGAACGTCAACCAAGCTAACCTAAGAGAAGGCCCTGGCATGCGCCGCGGTTCAATCTGTGCCAGTGTCTTTCTCCGTTTAAACCAGCAGGGGGTTCAAAGCCTCAGAGCAGGCAGGCGGCGAAGGGCCCACCGTCCCCCAGCCGCAGGCGACCAAGCCCGTTACCTGATGGCGTTGACCGGCGGGTTTCGGAGGCGGATCAGCGCCAAGCAGTTCCGCAGCCGCGTGTACTCGGCCATGTCTTCTCGGTCGCGAAGGTCGCCTCCGCCTCCCGCCGCTAGGCGATGGCGCGTTCCCCCCGCGTGGGGCCGACCCCGAGAGGAGGAGCGCCCGCTGGGCCAATGCGAGCCCGGCACCGCCTCCCGCCGTCCCGGGGCCCGGGGCGCCGCCGCCCGTCCTCCCACCCGCTTCTCCTCCTCCACGAACCCAGCCCCGCGCTCTGCAGGCGCTTGTGGTCTCCTTCTTTGGGTTGGTTCCCATCATATCCTAGATCAGAGAGGACGGTGGAAAATGGGTGCAATTGCCAGCAAGTCGAAGTTTGCAACCCTGCCTTCTCTGGACAACTTCTGGGCTCACTAGGTTGGTGGAGCTGTCCTCATCAGTTTTTCATCTTCATGATCCGTCTTAACCGGGATGGATACCTGGGGTCTTGTCAATTAGGTGATAAGACACACGCTTGGAACTTAAAATACACGCACCATGAATTTCACCTAAACCGGTATGGTACCAACCACTTACAGAATAGTGATTTTATCTGTCTTACTATAACGGCGGAACCTAGCGAAAGGTATGGGTATCTTGTCTGCCCCAACCTTCTCTTTTTTTCTTAAAAAAAAAAAAAAAACTCCCCCAGTTTTGTTGATATATAATTGACATACATCACTATATAAGTCAAAGGTGTACAGCATAATGACTCACATAGATTGGAAAATGATTGCTGCAGTAAGTTTAGTTAACATTCTGGCATCTCGGGGCGCCTGGGTGGCTCAGTCATTAAGCATCTGCCTTCGGCTCAGGTCATGATCCCAGGGTCCTGGAATCGAGCCCCGCATCGAGCCCCGCATCGGGCTCCCTGCTCCGCGGGAAGCCTGCTTCTCCCTCTCCCACTCCCCCTGCTTGTGTTCCTGCTCTCGCTATCTCTGTCAAATAAAAATAAATAAAAATCTAAAAAAAAACCAAACCAAACCAAACAAAAAAAAAAAAACATTCTGGCATCTCATCTAGATACAAAATAGACCAAAAACAAAAAACAAAACCCTCTCTTTTCTTCTTCTGTCATTCCTAAGGATTGTGATTTCTAATGCTTCATTCATTCATGAATTGAGCAGCTGTTAGGAGCTTGGCCTAGGCAGGAGACTAAAGATAAACCAGGCCCAGGCCCTTCCCTCCAAAAGTGCACCACTGAAACAAGGTTTTTCTAGATGGTATCAGCCTCTGGTGGTCCTCACAGTCCATCAAGTGGTCATAAGGCAGTCTGGAAGTTTCAGAGGAAAACAAAACGAAACAATGGAATGATTTTGTTCACTGATGCTTCACAAATCTCAGCAATGATTAGGGACTATTTTCATATTCTTTTACCTCTTGGAAATAAAAACAGGTTCCAAGTCTGAGGAAAGTAGGATTGCCTTGAAGCCCTGGGAACAAGCAGCAGTCTGAAGGTATCCAACCCATCACCAACAGCCCTCATTTCTAACGGCCAGCCAATCACAAACAATACAGTGCACGCCTCTCAGGGTCAACATTTGACAAAAACCAGCTCCTACAGGTGAGATCTCTGATGCCTCTGAAAATTTGAGAACCCCTGAACTCCACCTTGCTCAAAAACATCATGAAAGATTAACAGTCTGCTCTGCCTGCGAGAAACTGCATGAGGAGCCTAGGTTTCCTTATTATAGGAAGCGACAAATTCAGCTTCATCTTCTTATTTCAGATACTGGTCTCTAGGGAAACAACTCCACAGAGGCCTCCTAGCAACCTTGAGTGTCTCCACAAAGGCCATGTAGGCAAGACTTAATAGTTCTGAATGGCCTGAAATTCTTCCTGGATCAAGAGTTGATGAGCATGGTGTGGAGCTGTCTTGAGGCAGGTTCTCACCTCTATCTTGGAGGTATTAGCCATAGGTCATTTCTCACCTACTTCCCTAGTTTTAGTTGAATGCAGAGCTTTCTCCCTAGTACAAGCTGCAAACTTCTATGTAAATCTATAGAACTGCTCAACAGTAGTTCTAAGGTAGGGACAGGGACTAAGGTAAGCAAAGGAGGCACCCAGTGGGCAAAATGTAAGAGGGCACCCACTCTATTTCCTACAAGCGCCCACCCTGCCCTTTTCCTCAATAACAGAGTGACTCAGGGTTCCCGTGATCTGTCATGTAGCCTCTCCTATTTGGTGTCATCCTATGGGACTAGGGATACAGGAAGGTGATAACCATATCTTTCTTTTGCTATCTATGTAAATAATAAACTGTCTAAATCCATTCAGTCCCAGGGCGCCTGGGTGGCTCAGTCGTTAAGCATCTGCCTTCCGCTCAGGTCATGATCCCAGAGCCTGCATCGGGGTCCCTGCTCCGTGGGAAGCCTGCTTCTCCCTCTCCCACTCCCCCCGCCTGTGTTCCCTCTCTCGCTCTCTGTCAAAATAAAATAAAATAAAATCTTTAAAAAAAATCCATTCAGTCTCCTTACGGACCAAATCTATGGAAGTGTGGCAAGCCAATCTATCAAGTGCCACCATACTGCCAATGACAGACTGCTTGACCCTTTGACAGTCTCTTGAGCATTGCAATGAAGTTTTATATTCTTAAGTTGTCTTCTCATTTAATTTGTCTCAACAAGTGCTACTTAACAGGATGTCATTTCTCTTGGCTAGTGCCCTTCAACATCACTTGCATGTTGAATATTAGCTTGAATATTATGTCACTTTCATTGTTGTGTTGCAACTTATAAAAATAGGTCAGTTAATCAGAAGAGGTTTTTTTTTTGCGTGTGTGTGTTTAAGTAAACTCTATGCCCAATGTGGGGCTCGAACTCATGACCCTGAGATCAATCACGACCCTGAGATCAATAACAACCCTGAGATCAAGTGTTGCATGCTCTACCGACTGAGCTAGCCAGGCACACCTAGAAGAGGTTTTTAAAACTTTTAAGACAAATAAAAGAATGTAAATATAGAACTTTTGTGTGCTAGATCATGCAAATATGTACTCACAGTAAAAATGGAGATGACTATCTAAACTTGGTTGTGAAACTTCATTCAATAGTGGCATGAAGCCATGAGGGCTAAGGCTGACTTCTCTGGTAAACCATTTAGATTGTTCTGGAACAAATGAAAAATATTGCTTTCCAGCTGAAGTGATAAAATCTTTCACATGTTCTCTTCCACATCATTTCCCCTTTTACTGTGGGATATAAATGGGCACAAGGCCTCAGAGAAGGAGGGAGCCACAGATAGAAGAAGCCTGACTTCCCAAATGATCTTGTGCGGCAGAGCTGCCTGCTGACTAGAACCAACACGGACTGTTACAAGAGAAAGAAATAAATGTGGGTCTGTTTGTTAAAGAATTTTAACCTATCCTAACTATTACAGCAAAGAAATGGGCAGTGAGTACACTCTTCCCCAGTGAAGTTGGCTGACATTTGAGGAGAAAATCTGCTCACATAAGTACTTGAAATAAGAGATGTGATGTAAATAATTTCTTTACTGTGCCAATAATATTAGTAATGACAATTTCTATAATTTCCAGTGGCTTGCTCAAATGTTGGGCTTTGGAGATATAACACACACACACACAGTATTCAGTATCTTCATGATGAAGATAAGCTATCAGGATTCCTAAAGAAGTCTCAACTGTGGCAGAAAAACGTCTCAGTCATGTCAATTATCTTCACTGATTGAAATATCAGAGATCAATGATGTATTATTATGTATGTATGTATTATTGAGCATATTTAAAGATTATGCCCATAGGCTGCAACCAAATCCCAACACCAGGCGCCCTCATTACCTTATTTTAAACTTTGTGGAAATTTTCAAGCATATAAAAAAGTAGAAAGAATATAATGAAACCAAATATATCCATCTCCAACATTAATATATGACCCATCTTAATTATCTGAACTTTTCCATATTATTTAAAAATAAGTCTCAGACATTACATTATTCAGCCATAAATATCACAGTGCACTGCTGTTCACTTTGGGATGCAATGCAGTGCCTTTTGCATTCTCCTCCCAACCCAGTTCCTATCTGTTGTCTCTTTTCTTCCTCTTTCCACCATCACAGCTTTCAAGATTATTTTAATAGAAGAAAAGGCAGTAGTAGTAAGAGATAAAAGGGCCCAGAAAGAATCCTAGAATCCACTCATTCTTTCACTCATCCAACAAATATTTTAGGCCTGTCATTTCCTAGAGTCTTGGGATGCATGGTTGTTACTTATTTGGGTGGTTGTTCAGATAGGTGGTGTAATGATGTCTTGGTCAGATGAACTAACAAGAAAGAAAAGAAAAAGAAAAGAAAGGGAGAGAGAGAGGGTGGGAGGGAAGGATGGAGGGAGGGAGAGGGAGGAAGGACTGGAGGATGGGAGGAAGGAAGGGCGGAAGGAAGGAAGAGGAAGGGCGGAAGGAAGGAAGAGGAAGGGCGAGAAGGAGGGAGGAAAAGAAAGTGTGTCATCTAGTGGTTACAGTGGGAAATATACATTGTTTTCTACTACACAGAACAAGACAAGGCTTACTCCTGTCTGGAGGAGTAATTTCCTTAAAGAGGAAATTGAGGCCCAGAGAAGTGAAGTGATTTGTCTAAGGTCCCATGGCTAGTTAATAGCAGAGATAGGCATATAACCCAAACACTGACTCTAATACCTATATAAAGATCTATGTAAATTGTGATTGTTTCAGACTCTTGTGGTTCAAATGATTTTAAATATCATTAAAACATATTTTTTGCATTTATTTTTGTCAAGTTATGGTATTTTGGTGGCAAAGGGGGAAAAGTGCATTGATTGAAAGAAGGAACTAGATGGACCTATAATAATATTAACACTGAATTATTTTTCCATTAAAAGTTCTGCCTCCATGGGGCACCTGGCTGGCTCAGTCAGTAGAGCATGAGACTCTTGATCTTGGGGTTGTAAGTTTGAGCTTCATGTTGGATGTAGAGATTATTTATTTATTTATTATAAATACTTTTAAAAAAGATTTTATTTATTTATTTGACAGAGAGAGAGAGCATAAGCAGGGAGAGCAGCAGGCAGAGGGAGAGGGAGAAGCAGGTTCCCCGCTGAGCTAGGAGCCCGATGCGGGATTCGATCCCAGTACCCTGGGATCATGAGCTGAGCTGAAGGCAGACACTTAACCGACTGAGCCACCCAGGTGCGGGATGTAGAGATTATTTAAAAATAAAATCTTAAAAAAAAAAAAATAGTTCTGCCTCCCTCACAAGATATAAAATTCCTCAAAAGCAGATTACTTATTCATCTTTTTTTTTTTAAGACTTATTTATTTGAGAGAGAGAGAGAGCATTTGGTGGGGGCAGAGGGAGAGAGAGACTCTCAAGCAGATTCCACACTGTGCATGGAGCCTGAAGCAGGACTCAATCTCACAACTCTGAGATCATGACCTGAGCCGAAATCAAGAGTTGGATGCTCAACCAACTGACCCACCCAGGCTTCATCTGTATACCCAGTGCCTGGCATGGTGTCTCTCCTGAATGAATGAATGAATAAGTGTATGAATGGAATCAGGAGTTTGAGAGTCTAGAACTAATCAGTTCTAAATACTAGTCAGAACTAGTCATTCTAGATTCTATTCAGTTTTCTACTGACTGCCACTGGCTAACTTTGTGACTTTCAGCAGATTATTTAATTCTTATGATTGATTCATTAAAAATGTCATCTTTTTTTATGCTAGAGTTGGCAGAAACCTTAAATTTCATCTATTCCAACTACATTATTCTATGGGGTCCATAGAATTACCAGATTATTTGGAACACAGACTTAGTACCAATATTTGAATAATACCCATGCTAGCTTTGTTATATTCCTAGAACAAAGACTGAATATTTAAGAGAAATTGCTTGCAATAGATTAGTCTATAAATAGGATTGTGTCACTTTGGGGCACCTGGGTGGCTCAGTCGGTTAAGTGTCGGCCTTCAGCTCAGGTCATGATCTCAGGGCCCTGGGATCAAGGCCCACATCAGGCATGGGACTCCCTGCTCAGCGGGGAGTCTGCTTCTCCCTCTCCCTCTCCCCCCTGCTCATGCTCTTGTTTGCTCTCTCTCTCAAATGAATAAATAAAAATCTTAAAAAAAAAAAAAAAGATTGTGTCACCTCATTGGCAATGCAGTCTTTCTGTTTACCTTTGGTTACTGCTTGGATCAGTTACTTATTCCTGTCTAGCCAGCTAAAACAGAAGATAGAGCTCACAGGAGCTGATACTTAACCCCTCAGTTCTGGGTAAATATAAGAAGTTTCCAGGGGAGAGAGAGCTAATTATTTGAAATGAACTCAGCAGCGCCAGATCAGAACATTCAAATGATCATCAGAATCGTGTGGCACCCGCTAGGTTACATTGCCTGTCTTGGACTGGGATTTTCCTACTCCTTTTCACTTGAGAGTGAAGGTCTTGAAAGTGAATCTGCTTTTACCTTATTAACACCCTGAGGCATATTTTGGGAATGGAAGGAGGTGGTGAGCATTTTGGGACTCCATTTCTGGTCCTGGCTCTGGCACTAATTGTGTGACTTTCAGTCAGTTGCTTCTCTGGGTCCAATTTTCCTTACTTGTAACATCAAGAGGTTAACTAAATTCACTTCTAACATTCTGTGAAGTTTTTGTTGTAAGGATAAACCCTCAGCTCAACTGGTCTCCTGTTTTTTCCTAGGTTAGCTTTCTTCCTTCCGTAATTTATTATCTCTATGTTTTTGAGGGCAGAGCCTGGGTTTTATTCATCTTTCCTCCAGTATCTAGCACAATAACCAAGCAGGCAGGTGACTTCAAGTAGGGCTGAAGTTGGTTCCTACACAAAACTCTATCTTTGGAGGAGCTCACACTTCAGAGGAAGGTACCAAGTATTATTAATCACTTGATTAAAAGCTGAGGATACAACGGGTAACAAGAAAACTGGTTCCAGCTTTCCTAACCACTTACCAGTTCCAACAGGAAAGAAGAGACTGCCTGTAATCGTTAACACTCGTTGAGCGCTTCATTGTGCCAGAGCTCTCCATGTGTTATCTCAAGAAATACACACACCAACCCTACGTTCTAGGTACTAGTGTCATCTCTGTCTCACAAAGAAACGGGCACAGAAAAGTTAAGTAACCTGCCAGGTTAACACCCTTACATGTGAGAAGCAGCGTTCGAAACTAGACAGTACCACCTCAGAGCCCGCGCTCCGGGGCACTCCACCGAGCAGAAAAATCGGAAAAATCTTGTGTTCAAGACAAAGAGGGAGCAGAGGGAAGTGACTGCAGAAGCCTGCAGAAGCTGGCAAACCAGTCTGAAAAACAAAAAATGAACTTCGAGCGGGACTACACAGCCGTTAAGGAAAGCAGGGGGGAAAGATACCCCATAAACAAGATCCGGAGCGCGCGTGGATCCCGGGGAAACCAAGGAAGACGTCGGAAGTGGCGTCACTAGCGGGGGTTGGACGCTAAGCGGGACCATCGGGCCTAGCGGAATTTCGGCCGGACGTGATGCACCGGAAGTTACGCCCTGGAGGCGGTCCCTGGTTGTGGAGGGCGTCGCGGTGGGTGGGGCGGAGCGTCTGTGGTCCTCCTGGAACCTTGCATCCCGGGCAGGTAACGTGCACGCCAAACTTGGACCCGGTCAAGGGTGGAAGTTGGTGTTGGTGGCCCCGGTAGTTCGGGCAGGGAGAGAGATGGATCTCGCATTAGGCTGGAGGAAAGTCTCCTTGGCGTCAGACTCCCTGGGGAGGGAGGGGTGCGAGGAACTTTGGGAACGGGGTCGTGAGGACCGAGGTCGTCGGGGAAATACAGCTTGAGACTTTCAGGAATCGGTCATGGCTGGGGGTCGTGGGCTCCTGAGCTTTGGCGCTCTGGGGTGAGAGGTGGAGCCTGGGCGTTGAAATGAGCCGACGTAGAGTTCATTTCTTACCTACTCCAACCCCCGCCTCTGTTCTGCTAATAGGGGACAGGTACTTCATCTCTTAATCCAAGACAGTGCCTTGCCACTATTAGGCATTCTTGAACGAATGAATTATGTATTATGAACGCACGAACCAGATTCTCGCTCAGCAAGGGGAACTTCTCCCGAACTTCAGGATCTCTATCTGAGTGTAGAAGTGACTTCAACGTAGTTTGCTAACCAGTGATTTATGAGGATGCTGGGGGAGTAGAGATTCAGAGCACTGTTGTTGTTTTGTGAGATTATTGAAACTTATAAACTTGTTTTAATATTTCGATGGTGGGGTAGAGGATAAAGCGATTAATTCAGCTTCTTTCAGATTCCTTTATTTTTCTCGGAAGAACTTCAGGTAATGATGGGGGAGGAATGATAAGCTACGGTTGTAGCACTGAACTTCTAGTGTTCTAAGTACTTTCTTTTCAGCAGTATAAACTTACTTTCCATTTTCTTCATGTTTTCTTTCTTACATTGGGGTACTTCTTACATTTGAGAGGTAAATAAGAAAGATTTCGTAACAAAGATGAAATTAATTTATAAAAATCCAGTCAGAGGTTTCACCTGGTGTGTTCACATAACATAAACTCCTTCCACAGACTTGTAGGAGGCCTCCAAAAGAATGAATCCCTGAAGATTAAATTGTCTTCTTCATAAAATATTTGTCTAGGTGTCTTAAATGTGATGAAGAGTGGCCATAGACCTAAAGAACAAGTGCTGTAACCGGATTGGTTTTGATTGTCAAGTGGAAAAAAGTGCAGAGGACAGACACATCAGGCTGTGTAATGGATCATTTTCTGGATGCAGTGATTTTGTGTATGGGCTTTGTGCTATCTAATGTGTAGTAGCTCCTAAGAGGTTCTAGAATCTTTTTTAGACTGGATATAATGGAGTAGAAAAACCTGAATTTATGCTTTTGTTTGTTTGTTTTTACAAAGAAGAAACTAGTAAGCATTTTTAGATTTAAAAATCCTAGGGGCACCGGGCTGGCTCATTCTGTGGAGCATTCGACTCCTGACCTTGGGGTTGTGGTTTGGAACCCCGCCTTGGGTGTAGCAATTACTTAAAAATAAAATCTTTAAAAAAGAAAAATCCAAGATGTTTTTAAAAATAGTCTGAAAAAACCCAGAAAGTAGACATGTAAGTACATTATTGTAGTCATTTAAATTTTAAAAGTTTGCCTGGCTTTAAAATTTGTTTTCCCAATTTCTGGAAAGTGTTGGTATCCAAATCATTCCCATCTTTACAAGCTCTTACTATGGTGCCACCTTTAGAATACATATAAATATGGTACAAAGCTGTGTTTCGAGATCTTCTAGATTTTGTTAATAGTAATGTCTTACTTAAAAATACAGTATAATTTTGCTACCTCATTCTGCTGTTCAATGTCATATCCACTAATTTTGCATATCTAAATGTCTATATTCATAATAATAACTTATTATTATTCATAATAATTTAGTATCTAAGTGGTAACTTAGGTATGTACATTGACATTCTTGAGGTTTTCAGTTTTGCAGAACACTGATATCTATGGACGCTAACATGGACTTCATTTAAAGAAATCCACGGACCATAAATGGACAAAAACATGAATCAGTTTATGTTGTGGCATTCAAATCCTAGCACTTTGGGAAAGGTAAGTTGTTGACTGTGTTTTATGTTAGGTGAGAAATAGAACAGCCTTGGATTGGTCTAGGAAATTTTAGGATTGTGATTGAAAAATATAGAATGAATCTTCAAATTTTGTTTTAATCTGGATCTTCCAAAGAGAGGTTTGTTGTGTATATATGAGGTAATTATTACTATTTCCTTGTAAAATAATCAGAAATTAAAGAGATTGGCAAGTTATATTACTCCTGGACGATTACTGCTTTGTTCTCTTTTTTTGGGAGATCTCATTTCAACACTTTAGAGCCTGGTAGAATATATCAGCCTGTGGATACACTGTAGGAATGGGGTTTCAGATAGTCATTTAAATCATCTCACATCCAAGTTTGGCTCTGTGATAATATATGTACCAAATCTTCTGGCCAGTTTTACTTTACATGTTAGGTTAAAGCAAGAAAAAAAGTTTAAAAAATGTCTTCTTTCTCCCTTTATCTTGCTTTATGCTATTTTCCTTTCTTTTTTTTTTAAAAATCACTTGCGGGATTCATTCTACAAGCCTTTTATCTTCCTGTCCCGGGGGTAAATTTTCTCTTTTTTTTCCCTATTTTACCTTAGGAGTTTGTTAACTTTCAAATCTTTAACTTCTAACTTTGTGGTAATATTTGGCACCTTTTAATCACTAAGCATTATACTTGTAGTTTTTCCTAGTTTCCTTTGTAGAGACACTGGCTTCTTGTTTAGAATTTACTCAATTCCAAAACCAGTTAGTACTTCTAGGAATTCATCTTTTAGATATATTTGCGCCTGCACACAAAAATTTGTATATAAAGATATCATTACCATATTATTTTAAATTAAGAAACAGACAAACTAGGAATAACCTAAACATCCCTCAACAGAGGTCTGATTTAATAAATGCCTTCATGTAATGTAGTACTTTATAACTCTTAGAAAGAATGAAGCTAATCCATAGGCAGAGGTATGGCAAAATCTGATACATTGTTAACAGAAAAACAATATAGAACTGTTTGTATAGTGTGTTTTCATTTGTGTTTTTAAAAGCATACATTTATATATATACATGCAAAATTTCTTCGGAATCTGTATGAGGAACTATAGACAGGTACTCCTGGTGAATGAGACTATAGGTCTATGGTAGGAAGATGATTCATATTTTTTCTGTGTACTCTTTCTGGCAGATTGGATTTTTAACCATGAACATGTTTTCATAATACTAGGAAACAAACAAATGACAAGGCTTTAGGTTAGTTTAAGAACTATGGAGCCTACAACTATTCCTTATGACTTTTGTCCTTATAATTATTTGCACTATTCAGAGGGAATGGGGTTGTATAAGTGACTGAAGTTTTTGCCAGAGCTACATGGAAGGTTTGGTGACATTATAATAGGTTTTTAACCTTGACATTACATTATTATTCTTATGAACAAACTAAGTGCTTAGTGCTGCTGAATTTAATACTCATATGCAATTGTAGCATGTTACTGGCCTCCCCATATAATATGGGTATTATCTTTGTTTGCAGGCTAGGTTTCTGATGTATTGGCATGATCCTTCTGAGCCTCTCAGTATTACTGAATGTGATGGACTTTGTTTTATTTGAATTGCTATTGAGGGACTCTACTCTTTTAATAAGTCTTATTTATTATTTCACTTTGTTCTTGATGTTTAGAGCTGGCTTAAAGCATTTCAAAGAATGGCTTATTTTCTCTGTTAGCAAAATCAGTAAAGCAGAAAGATCCTTTAGATATATATGGATAATCTCCTTTGAAGTGGCTGATTATTTGCCATGGGACTCCGCAAAAATTTCTTGTGACTTGTACTTCTCTAGCTGTCTTTGTCTTTCCACACTTTCATTGTGGAAATTTGGAATAATAATAATAGGTGAATACAAGAGTACAAGAAATTTAAAGATATAGTAATCTTCGTTCATTAGTAATGGGATTTTATTTGAAACTTGCTTGAGAATAAGCTTTGTAAGATACATACCTTTATGATACTGCTGATTGTGTATCTTGTTAAAGTCAAAATCAAGGCCATTTATCTGGGGACTGAGTCATGATTAATGGAATAGAACAGATTATGGTACGTCTGGTGGTACATAGAAAGGAGCACATGAACATAAAAGTTACATGTAGATAACATAGAATTAGGGAAGATACATGTATATGTGTGTGTGTCTATGCATGTAAATATGTATTTATAAAATGTGTATATATATATTATTTACACATAATATATATAAAATTTTCTGGAAAACCAAAAGTTCCGGATAAGAAGATATCCAGTTAGCACAGGAAGAAAAAAAGTCAGAATTTTAAGACCTTAGAGCTGGGCCTGTCATGGGCTAATTCATGATTATGAGAGCAGCTTAAAGAATTTTGGCTGTTTTAAGATCATTCACAGGTTCAAGTGATAGGAAGGTAGATAGAAGCCTGAGAGAAAATTAAAATCTAGCAAACATGTAAGATTATGGTTGAGGGTATCTTTTAAGATTTGTTTGGTGGTATTATTTTGGAGAGGAGAAGAGAAGGGAGAACTCAAAAATGTATTGCTGTTGGGCGCCTGGGTGGCTCAGTTGGTTAAGCGACTGCCTTCGGCTCAGGTCATGATCCTGGAGTCCCGGGATCGAGTCCCGTATCGGGCTCCCTGCTCGGCGGGGAGTCTGCTTCTCCCTCTGACCCTCCCCCCTCTCATGTGTTCTCTCTCTCATTCTCTCTCTCTCAAATAAATAAATAAAATCTTTAAAAAAAAAAAAAAGAAAAGAAAAAGAAAAAAAAATGTATTGCTGTTCAATTTGGATTTGAGCTAGGACCGTAAGTCTTTCATAGCTTTCCAATTGTGTATGACCATGGATGAACTAGATCCATTAACTTATAAAACATTCTACAAAAACTGATTTGATCATTAGATATACCTCAAAGAATAAGAGAACTGTTTTTTTTTTAACTTTTTAAAAAAAAGATTTATTTATTTGAGAGTGCAGGGGGAGGGGCAGAGTGAGAGGGAGAGAGAGAATCTCAAGCAGACTCTCCGCTGAGCAGGGAGCCTGACACAGGGCTCGATCCCCAGACCCGCGAGATCATAACCTGAGCTGAAATCTACAAGTTGGTTGCTTAACCAACTGAGTCACTCAGGTGTCCCCGAGAGTTTTTAACCAGTTTTGTGATTATGTAAAAGGATAACTGTGATGATCTAGACTGAGGGGACTGGGACCATTTTGTTCAGAAAATAGAAGAATTTGGAAGAGTTGGAAAAACTGTAGGAAGCACAGTTGCTGTTTGTTATTTGACGTCAAGTGAGAGAAGGTATAGAACTAGTCAGCAGGGGAGCAGGTTGTGTCCAGAGGCAGTGAACTTTGGGTCATTAGGGCTGTTTAAGCAGAGTTTGAACATCAGGAATGTTGTAGAGGGGATTTCTTATTGTACGGGAGATTGTACTAGATTATTGTAAAGGTTCTTTTCAAATCCTAAAATTTTTTAATACTGCAATGAAGTGTTTATTACAATATGAGTATACATTCTGTTATCCCTGTCTTTAAATACTGATCCCTACTTATCCACTCATCATTTATCCACCAACCTCAACTTCCATGTAACCAGGAAGTAAATTTAAAAATTACCTGAGCTCCCAAATTGTAAGACATAAAACCCATATGCTTTTTCTTAGGTCCTTACTCAGTTTATTGACTTTTTTAAAAGATGGCTCTTTTTTTTTTTTTTTAAGATTTTATTTATTTATTTGACAAAGAGAGACAGCGAGAGAGGGAACACAAGCAGGGGGGGTGGGAGAGGGAGAAGCAGGCTCCTCACTGAGCAGGGAGCCTGATGTAGGGCTCAATTCCAGGGCCCTGGGATCATGACCCCAGCAAAGGCAGACACTTAACCGACTGAGCCACCCAGGCACCCCTAAAGATAGTTCTAATAGGCTTAATTAACTGGTATCTAACTCCACAGTGTACTAGAAGCAGCAAATTGTGAGTAGGCCGAGGGCTAATGTAAGTTTAATATATATTAATGCTAATAATGGTGTTGGCATGCTTAAACAACCTTTTTTTATTATACAAGTGATCCATGTCCACTTGACAGAAATTAGAATATAGAAATATATTTTGGGGTGATGTGAATATATATATCATATAGGTAACTTTATTTCTCTTTTGGTGATAGATTTGTGATATCACCAAAGAGAAATAAGGTTACCTATAATCCCCTACCACTGTTAATATTTTAGTGGCATGCTTTATTTTTAAACTCCTTGACATTCCTGCAGGATGTTACTTCTGAGTAGTGACTGCTGAAACTGATTCTACATTACTCCTGTTTGGAAACTTAAATTAGTCACTATACTCTCTGATCAGAAGATCAGAAAGTGAAATATTATGACATGGCTCAATGCTGATTTGAAAACATTAGTCCTTGTCAATTTTGTTGCATTGAAACCAGTTTTATAGAGTAATGAGCATAGGTTGATACTCTAGAGCCAAAAGGCCTGAGTTTGAATCCTAACTCCACTATTTACTAGCCAGGTAAACCACCAGAATTTCTTAATTTCTATGTGCCTCAGTTTCTTCATTTGTAAATTGAGGATAATAATAATTATATCAAATTCATGGGATTCTTGTGAAGATTATGAATTAATCTGCATAAAATGCTTAGAGTAGTGCCCAGGACAAAGTATAGACTCAGTATGTATTAGTTGCTATTGTTATTATTTTTAATTTTTTTTAAGATTTATTTTTTTATTTTAGAGAGAAAGACAGTGCAAGTGGGGGAAGAGGCAGAGGGAGAGAATACCCAAGCAGACTCCCCGACGAGCGTGGAGCCCAATGTGAGGCTTGATCTCACGATCCATGAAATCACGACCTGATCACGACCTAAAACAAGAGTTGGTCACCCAATGGGACGCCTGGGTGGCTCAGTCGATTAAGTATCTGCCTTTGGCTCAGGTCATGATCTCAGGGCTCTGGGATTGAGTCCTGCATTGGGCTCCCTGCTCTGCAGGGAGCCTGCTTCTCCCTCTGCCTCTGCCTCTCTCTCTGTCTGTCTCTCATGAATAAATAAATAAAATCTTTAAAAAAAAAAAGAAGGGCGCCTGGGTGGCTCAGTCGTTTAAGCGACTGCCTTCGGCTCAGGTCATGATCCTGGAGTCCCGGGATCGAGTCCTGCATTGGGCTCCCTGCTCAGCAGGGAGTCTGCTTCTCCCTCTGACCCTCCTCCCTCTCGTGCTCTCTGTCTCTCATTCTCTCTCTCGCAAATAAATAAATAAAATCTTTTAAAAAAAATAAATAAATAAAAATTAAAAAAAAGAAGAGTTGGTTGCCCAACTGACTGAGCTATCTAGGAACCCCATTATTATTAATTTTTAAAAGCTTAAAGTGTTCTTGGAAAAAAGGCAGTTTTATAGGCATACATAAAATAAAAAGAAACAAGTCAGAATGAGCACAAAAGTAGGCATTGAGATTTAGTATATTTATTTCATAAAAACCTGCAAAGTGGTCTGAATTTTTCCATTGTAAAGAAAAAGAAAAGTCTTTTTACTTTTCTCCCTTGTTAAATATTTTCAGACCATAATATTCCTAGTTCAATTTATCTCTCTACCCCACAAAATCAACTTTATTTTATGCTGTCTCTTCCAACAAATATTTGGCCATGCTTTCAAAGATCAAAAGCCCTTTAAGATAATCGAATATCATGGATAGTGATCAGAGAGATTACAGAAATTATCATTAAATCAGTTTCTCTGACTATAGCCCAAGGTGGTTCTGTAAGAAGTTTGAATTCTGCAATTTAAAGCAAATATTAATCAAAGAGATAAGCCAGTAAACATATTAAGCTATTCTATACACTCTGTCTTTTAAAATCTTTGTTTCCTTTTCTTTTTCTTCTTTATTTCATTTTGGTTTTCTCTTTCTATTCTTTCAGCATGGTATCTGGTAGTCTGATTAATTATTGGCCAAAGAGTTAAAGCTTTTCAAAACCCTTAAAAAATTTTATTAGACTTGCTGGTAGAATTTTTTTGTGTGTTTTGTTTTGTTTTAAAGCATCAAGTACAAGTTTTTGAAGACCCTGGGGCCTACCATCATTATGCATTCAAGATTTGAGTTTGAATAACTTCTTCAAGACTTAGATCCTCTTCAAAAGCCTCAAGTCTCATCTGCATTAAAGCTCTCCATTGAACCCTCTCACAAAAGTAAAAGCTTACAGGGACTAAAATCCACTAATACATTCCATTTTATATCCTTTCCTCTGATTTCTCTTCAATTTCTTTGGCCTTTAGAGTCTTTCATATTGCTTATGTTTCTTTAGATTGGAGCCAAGGAAACAGTGCCTTCCAAAAGAATAGATGTCCCGTGGCCCTAAGTTTTCATCGGTAGAGAAGCATAAACTTGGTATAAGTTTACAATCAGGTCTTTTGTTGTATCCTACAAAAACTTGAATCAACAATAAGAAATGAGAATGAAGTAAAAATATTTGAGGTCAGATTATACCATCAGTGGTTTAGAGAAAAGAGCCCTCCACCTAAAATTTAATGGTTCTTATTATCTGCCTGGGAAAGTCACATAACCTCTCTGGACTTTAATTTCATCTGTAAAGTAAATCTGATATTATTTCCCCTGCCTACCTCACAGGGTTGTTGTGAGGGTCAAATGAAATAATATATATAAAAATGACTTTCATATAAAATGTGCAGTATAGACATAGAGTCCTGTTACAAGTCATTCCCTCAGCTCTTGGGCCTGGGAAGGTAGATGATTTAAGCACACTGAAAGCAAGCACCATGTCCAGGCTGGATACATGGGAACGAGGCTGTGTTAATTTTTGGTTTCTCTGAGTACACAGAGTACTTTTGTGGGCCAATTCTAAGAAGGAGGAGGACTATACATTTCCCTAAAATTTTAAGTTAGCATTTATAATGCTCTAGAGCAATGATATGCTGTAATTATATTCGTGGCTTGCAACCTTTGTTTACAAGTAGTGACCAGCTTTTTTTTTTTTTAAATGAAGGAGCATAGAGCAGAACATTTCACACTGCATCCCACCTGGTAAGAGTAAGTATGTTTTCGTTATATGTATGTGTGAATGTGTGTGTGTTTGTGTTTGTGTACTTGGTCATTAAATAAAATACATTTTTTTTCCCTGTGAGTTGCAGTCGCTGATCCAGGTGTGTTATTTTAGTACTAATGCTTTCCTACACATTTGGGTTCTTAGGAAACTTTCTTTTCACTTCGTACCACTACTGCTTGTGACAAAGGAATAGATAATTAGTATCAGTTTGATTTTTGGTCTAATTAATGAGATTTTGTAATTTCAGAGCACAGAGGTATTTTATTTAGTAATACCATCCACTTTGACACCTAGACTATTAAAACATGTAAGGTTGGTTCAACCTCATACTAGTAGAAAGATTCTATCAAATGTTTTTTCTTTTAATTTTTTTTTGCTTTTATTTCTCTGACCTAATGGGAAAAACAAACAAACACACAACTCCCACTTAGTTTAGCAATGTTTGAGGACTCCGTGGAGAATGGCTATAGAGAATATAGTTAGCATGACTAGGAGTTTGATGGTCTCTAGAAGAGAAAATGCCAGTTTTTCTTTCTCTGAGTAACTGGATTTATCTTTAATGATTTAAGATAAGTAAGTCACTGGTATTAACTTATTCAGCTGTTTTCCTAAAAAAAAGGTATCCACCTTTTTGGTGACAGCATTGGTTAGGAATAAGTGGTTTTTCTAGTGTCCACGAACAAGAGGGAATGGCTACTTCCAGGGGTTAATACGTTCCAATTCTTTGGTGAAGAACTAATTCTTCAGTGCTGTAGTGTACTGAAAATTTATATTCGGTGCCTTGAGATTACTTACATAAGCTTTGATAGAATGCTGTAGAAAATACTGATGTTCCCTGCTTACAAATTACATAAATCTATATAGTACTAGCAACATGAGTATTTACCAGAAGATTTAAGAGGTAGAATCCAACTGGTTCATTTTTCTGAACAGCCACAGCCAAGTTTCATACATTGGTGGAAACAGAACAAATTGCCTAAATTGTGCAAATTGAGACTCTTTTGTGTATGACAGTTGGCAGCAATGGCGTAAAGGCTTATTAGATATATGATCAGCTTTTTCTTGTCCCTCCCCCAAAAAGGAATCATATTGGAATCTTTCTTCTCTTGGTGAAGAAGATAGGATCTGTCTATCCAAAAAGATCAAGAAAAGTAGCTGGCAACCTCAGCTATTCAGGACCTTCTTTCTCAACTCTCATGACTCTAATCCATCATCACATTGTCTTTCCTACCTTCTAAGTACCTTTCAAGCTATCCATGTCTTTCTGTTCCCGCATCCACTACACTTATTTACACTCCTGTTATCTTTGCCCAGACTTCTACAATAGCTGTTGCTTGACCTCCTGTACTCACTTCTTCCTCCTCTAAGCTCATTGCTTTTAGAGTCATCTTTAAAATACAACTCTAATCTCCTTGAGCTCCTGCTTTAAACTGTTGGTATCTTATTGCCCTTAGACTTCAACCCCAACTCTTTAGGCATTCTTCTTTGCCTGCTTAGCTCCAGCTGCAGTGGTCTTCAATTCCCTGAAGATGCCTTTGAAGAAGCAGGCACTTTCTGCTTGATGTGTTCTTGTCCCTCTTATCCCTCTTCACTTAACTCGCTCCTACTTATTTTTCCAATCTCACTTTAAATATTTTTTTCTTCCAAGAAGCCTTCCCCTATATCCCAGACTAAATTAGACCTCCCTTCCTCAATTTTCTTTCCAAAATCACCAAGTTCTTCTCATACCTAGTGTAGTTGTAATTACTTGCTTAATCATTTGTTAATATTCTCACCCATAACACTAAAGCTTGGACTGATGTGTCTTATTTACCACTATATGCCCAGTGCTTAGGAAAATCCTAGTAAATAGTGTGGATTCAGTAAGTATTTGCAGACTAATGCTTCCCACAGCTACCACTCTTTTCATTTAGACATTTCAGGTACTGTACATTCTTCTAGGTTATGTAACTTCACTTCAGAACCTTCTAGTTGCTTCTCATCTCATTCCATTTATTTATTTATTTTAAAGATTTTATTTATTTATTTGAGAGAGAGCAGGAGAGAGCGAGCAGGGAGGAGGAGCAGAGGGGGAGGGAGAAGCAGGCTCCCCACTGAGCAGGAGCCTAACTCAGGGCTTGATCCCAGGACCCTGGGATCATGACTTGAGCTAAAGGCAGACATTTAACTGACTGAGCCACCCAGGCTCCCCATCATCTCATTCCATTCATAAGCCAAGTCCTTATGATGGTCCAGAGCCTTACCTGATCTGCCTTTGCTCTCCCGTCGTCTCTGGATCATCTGACAGTCCACCTCAGCCACTCTGGTCTCCTAGCTGATCCTCAGAAATGCAAAGCTCTCAACTGCCTTAGGAACTTTGTACTTGATATTCCCTGTGCCTGGGATGCTCTTGCCTTAGATATCTATGTGGTTTAAGTCCTCATCTTCAGATCCTTCCGGTCATGTTTTGTCACTTCAGTAGGCAGGCCCTCTCTGACCATCTTATTTAAAAATTGTAACCCATGGCATTCCTTTTCCCCTTCCCTGCTTTATTTTTCCCATGGTCCTTAACTCTGACTAACATACTATTCACCATTGTTTCCCCCAGCTTCCAGAACAGTGCCTAACACATGGTAGGCACTTAGAACATATTTATTAAATGAATGAATTCAACTTGTACTCACAGGTGCATGTTTGGGACAATGAGACCTATAACCTGAATTATTGGGATTTAAGGTTTTTAAATGATTTTAAAAGATGAGTTTATTTTATATCTTACGATGTTCTAACAAATATTTGAAGTGGCTTCTAAAACTGCATACAGTACAATCAGATGAAGACATGAAGAGAACAAAAGAAAGAGAATGTATAGTAACATTAAACTGAGTAAAATTAAGACATAGACTATCTTCCATAATGGTTAAAGGCAGGTTGTAAATTTGAATCATTAAAGAATTAACTTGCTCAGAAATGTCATTGGACCAGAATCATGAACTTTGTTCTATGACACAGGTCATCACAGACATTTGAGTCTTCCACAGAAATGCAGAAAACCTATTAGATTTAACTATAGGAAGTCATGAAATGACTCTTCTAGAAAGAACTTGCTATCTGCATGAGGAAATTCTCTATTGGTATAAAACATGAATAGTCTATCCATAATAAAGCCTCTGCTACATCTTGAGAGAGGACAGTCATGGCTACCAGCCACTGCTTATGTTATGTACAGGACGTTTCCAAGGTTGATTCAAACTTAGTAATGGAATATTTGTGAAAGTCCACTGTCAAAGATGCCAATCAGAGCATTCATTACTCTAGTTTCTCTGACTCTAATCACGAGATAATATGAGTTGCCAGTGGTTGTGGCCTCCTTTTTGAGGTAGAGAATTGGCAACTTAGAAATAGAGTTTTCAGGGCGCCTGGGTGGCTCAGTTGGTTAAGCGACTGCCTTCGGCTCAGGTCATGATCCTGGAGTCCCGGGATCGAGTCCCGCATCGGGCTCCCTGCTTGGCAGGGAGTCTGCTTCTCCCCCTGACCCTCCCCCCTCTCATGCTCTCTCTCTCTCTCAAATAAATAAAATCTTTAAAAAAAAAAAATAGAATTTTCATCCTGCAGTATATACATAGATCAAATCACTATGTCATACACTTTAACCAATGCAAGGTTATATTCAATTATATCTCAATAAAGCTGAAAGAAAAAGAGTTTTACACAATCAGTAACCGAATTGGGGTGAAGGATTGGGAGTAAAGCAGGTGAATTAGACTTCAAGAAATCTCACCAATACAGTAACCAAAATGAGAGCTATCTTTGTGTGTGTGTGTGTGTGTGTGAAGTTAAATGGGACATTATACAGTACATGCCTTTGTGCTCATGGGATGTATGCTTTCCTAATTCTATTTTGTCTTCTTCGTCATTTAAAACTGAGTCTGAGAATTGTGGAGCTCCCTGCAGGTCAGAGATAAAGCAGGGGAGGTGGGTGGGCATGGACTGCAGGTCTTGCAGTTTACTATAGGACTTTAAGAACTGGTATTTTGAAGCAAAAGATGAGACTGTTTAGCTAGATGGGATTCCACTGGCAAAGTGTGCTCTTCTTCGACTTTTCCTTCTTTTTTACCTTTCTCCTTTCTATCTCTGATATGGAGATAAACAGTACTTTTGAAGTAAAATCTGTCCTGCTCTATTTTTTAGGATTGAAAGAGGAGATCTAAACAACATCAGACTTTCAGAGAAATAATGAGAATGTGTATTTTTTTAAAAAAATCATTTATGTTCTACATATTTCAAAGAAAGAATATGAGGAGACATAATAATACCACAGAACCATTACAATGGATAATTCTTATAAAGGAAAAGTGATTTTTACCAAAAGCATTATGTAGAACATGTGGCTGACTAATGATCATATTGGGTTATAGTTAATCTATAAATCTACATTGTTCTAACAAAAATATATTAACTGAATGTACTTTACATATTTTATTTATTTGCTGGAACTTTAGATTCATTTTTAAAGAAATCAGGTACCTTTTCATTTTGACATTTGATGAGTACCAGAAAACCTGAGGACAGAACTATCAGTGTAAAAATAATGCAAAGGTCATATCTTCCAGCATGCAATGGTATAGAAGCAGAAAGATCTTGCTTTCAGTAAGTGTTGAAGTGGCAGAAAGAAAATATCCTCCAACTTCTTTGCTGACACAAATTTTGCTTACAGTGAGGACAAAGAATATGTCCACACTTTTGACTCAATATTTCTCAAATGATGTTAGAATGCCTGACACAGCTAAAAGAGACTCTTTAACCCAAAAGGGTTCAGAATTCACATAAGTTTGGAAAATGTTGTGTTTTTTGAATACTTATTTATTTTATAAAGATTTTATTTATTTATTTGACACAGAGAGAGAGACAGCGAGAGAGGGAACTCAAGCAGGGGGAGTGTGAGAGGGAGAAGCAGGCTTCCTGCCAAGCAGGGAGCCTGATGCGGGGCTCAGTGTGG